GCTATCGTTGTTCAATTAAACCTACATGGTATACACAGCCATTGGACTTGCGACATAATTCAGCAAAACATCGATCAGAACGCAAATCTAAGGGCTTACTTTGCAATGCTCGAATTCGGAAACATATCGCTTACGCTGCCTCCAGCTACACTCAGAAAGGTTGATCCACAGAATCCAGTGATAAAGCGAAAGACCAAGAAAACGGCTGTTATTCTGTTGTGGGTCCATCGTCCATTCCAGTTATAAATGTACTCACCAATGTCGGGAGCGAACACCACGGGGAACGTGAGGATGAAGAATAACGCATAAGATACCCGGTATACAACATTTCGGCCTGCCCAACTCCGTGAGAGTATGCTTTTAGATAAAAAATATTGGATGTACCATACACTTCGGACAACGGGCCAACGAGAAGCGGTCCCATTCCGAGACCTGACACATATAAGCTAATTCCGAGAATGGTCACTTCATGTGAGACATGGAATGTTTGGGCGGAACCTTGTTCTGTGAACGCAGCCTGGAGCGCAATTAGTCTCGACCAGAATGAGATATAAAATGACTCGCAATCGATGAATCACACGTCACGCAGAGAGAGGCAGAACTGATGATCAGGACCGCGAGCCACCGTCTGAACAAGGATATGTTTTGTGGATTATCCTCTGGCTCGAGGATGACGAGGTGTGGGTCACCTTCGGCATTTTGTAAGGCAGACACTTCGGTCTTTGTGGTAGCAGCATCGTCGGGGTGACTAAACGAGCCTGATATCCTTGTCAACGTCGACATGGTACGATAAGCCTAAGGACCTCTTGGACTACAGAGAAAAGCGAGGGTCAGTATTGTAAGCAGGTGCGAAACGAATGATTGATATAGTTAGCACTAGATGCCATTAATATTGGTGGAGTATGGTTGTAGCGGCGGCCGCCTCATAAGGTCGGCATGAACGTTTGAAGTGCCATGAACCGATGTAACAAGATTGGACGAAGTTGCCAGTAGTAAAGCATATACGTCTGCGACTGGAAATTGTAGTCTCCGAAACTAAATGTGATGAATGTGTTCATCCAGTATTCCCAGAAGGTCTGGTGTCGAGAGTCAAGATCATGATCACACGCTCGCACTATGTTAGAGCGCATCCCTAATTAAGAACGGATCATCGGAGTCACATCGGAACGTTCTTCCGTTTACATAGTCAGCAAGAAGGCTAATATTTGGTACGGCAACTCACCATTACTAAGGGCTAGTGCCCTAGTACTACGTATAGGAAGTTGATTCATAATACAATTGCTCTCACAAACAATCATGATGGGAAACTGGCTCCAAAATTGTACTTAGCCTATAGATTGTTCGCTATTGCAGATCTGTAAGCTAGTAGCAAGATGTTGTGAGCAGAGCTTGGCAGAATTAACGATGGCACTAGTACTAGCCAAGTGTGCTACGGAGACCACGAGACAAACGGGTCCAAGTCCTGCATTGCCGAGCGGGGTTCGAAAGAACCGCAGTCCTGAGGGCTGCGCACCTGGTCCCAGCTCCGCTCGGCGTCCTAGTGTCGGCAGCCACAATTTCCGTGCTCCTCACCGCTTATTGTGGTTTGAAACTTGCTCATTCTGACTACGATGAATGTATGTTTTCACCACCGTGTTGGACTGCAAACCTCACCCAAAGAACCGTCAATGTTTTCCACTACTCCACTACGATTTAACATATATATATATAACGTAAAACCAAAATATGTATAGATGAGATTGTTGGGGGTGATCCATGACAATATGATGTCACCCCAAGCCAATAAATCTGTTGGAACGACGATAACTCACAAGTACTTGCAAGTCCCCAACTCTGGCCTTGCTTGAATTTGAGTCATGAATCAATCAGGCGCTGCATATTTTTGTAACAGCGGTAAATCTGGCACGAGTAACTGAATAACACGATTTTCGAATCGCCTGCTGCAGTGGGTTCTTAAACACAAATGTTTTTATCAGGAATACACTGCGGCCTCAGTAAAACTCGAGCAAATTCTGAGAGGTTATAGGATGCCTGCCTGGTAGATTTTGTAGTAAATACTAAAGAGGTTGATACCAAAAGGAGAAAATATCATCAGCGTATCAAATAGCAATCCCATTGGCGAGAATCGGCAGACGGTAGAATGGAGATTTATTATTCATAATAGAGCTCGTAGACCACGTAGTAAATGATAAGAATGGCCAGGGCAAGGTTTACTTATTGTCTGTCAATTAAAGCGTGGAACTTGAGGGACTTCCATAGCCTGAGGCTACATGACATATCAGCGTAGCTCGCCCGGGCCGTTGCCTCGGCACACATCGTTTTTCGTCCTGAATGACAAAGACGCTAGCCTCCGGCATGAACTAGACGGTGACAATCAAATCAGCCACAACCAAAGAAGCCTCCGAGTCTGCTCACCAGAGCCAGCATGAAAAACCCAAATAAACTGCACAAAAATCAGGCACAGTTGTATGTGATACCCGACCATATAACACTACTTAATAATCACTTTTGTGGGGTAAAGAGACCGACCTGGTCGATGCGATCTGGAAAATGGAAAATAGAAACACGTGCGGTCACTTGGTCAACATATAAGCCGGCAATCAACGGGCCACTTATGGATCTGGTGAATGGCGGCCTTGGACGTTCGTTCCTGACTAGGTGTTGAAATGATACCGGACATCTGACATGGTGCAAACCGCCACGGGGTTGCATGTAACAGAAGAGCTCACATCGCTAACCAGAAACTCAATTGCCCCCGGTCGAGGTGGAGGACAGGTGGCTAACAGGCATCCTTCAAGAGCCGACTCGCAGAAGCCAGTTAATAAGCTGGAGTCAAAACCTCAAAAGTAAAGCGCATGGGAGGTCGACTCCTTACATCTTCAGTATCAATTCAAAAAAAGGATTGTCACTCACCATATGCTACTAGATCTTCAATAGTCATGAACTGAATGATTACAAGATTAGTGTTTGGGAAGAACTCTGCACACGGCTCTCATGGATGATGATCATGATGACAATGCGCGTGACTGAACATACAGCAGCATCCGCAGGTGACACAAAGTGAAGTAGAGCCTAAAACCGCAATGTAAAGTATCCAGTAGATTCGTCTTCAGGGTCTAGAAGGACCTTGTAAGTTATGAAGGATAGCAGTCATGTTATGTGCTCTCGTAGCCAAAGGCGAGGATAGAGTGGGCACAAGCGTTTTGCGCTAGGTCAGCTGTACTTGACCGCATTCTGACAAATGCTATATTGAGAGCAAGATGCCGGTGATGCTGAAACCCTGCATTGGCGCCAGGATGTCATTCCGAGCAGTTTACGTTAACTTAACAAGGACTCGCCCATGGGCGCTGAGCACCGTAGGCGATGTGATTGGTGGACTCGACTAGTAAGGACCTCAAAATAACTCAATGATTGGTTAGGTTATTCCAAATCGAGTCAATAATATGTCTTACTACACTGTTAACTGAAACCGTCTTGGATTGTATAGCTCTTCTTGATGTCAAGACAGGCTTTTAACCTCTGATTAGAAGCACATGAATGTAACGCTTGCCTCAGTTGAGGGTGGGAAATAACAAGTTAGCTCGTATTCACGGATAATTACAGAAAGCCGTTAATGTGGCCACGCGTAAGCGTCACATAAAGCAGTCCACGGACAAGAATGATGGCATGTTGAATTGTGACTGGAAATGTTAAATAAATTGACCGGTCTGTAACCAAAACGAGTGCCCGATAAAAGCGACATGTCGCCAATATTAGAGGCATAGCATCCTGAAGCTTAAGCACTTAGGCTAATATTTGAAGCTGATGAGGCCTTGAGGTCGCAATAAGGTGTAGGAGATCGAATCGTCGAACTCATGTTGGGTAGTGGTGGTGGTTAGAGGCATAGAATTAAATCGCCGATCAAAAAATTTGCCTGACGCCGAGAACTCAGAAACTGTGTCCAAATCAGTCTTAGAGCGTTTCGCCTCTCGCTTGAAAATTCTCTTAGCTACAGGCGGATCATGATTCTATTTCATCCTTGCGGCCAGCGGATGCGGCGGTGGCCTGGACTCAGGCGCTATTTGGCGGGCTTTGTCTAGAAGGGCCAAGCCCGCGATCTGAGCGCACGATTCTTCCACCCTCCCACGAGATGTTCAGGTTGCGTGTACTACCCTCAGGTTCGTGACTCTCAGCCCTCAGTGCCATCGCGTCCCTTTGTACATAATTTGGTGGTCCAGGTGTCATTCGGCCCATTCCGCAGTTCAGTAAATGCCGCTGCGTGGAGTTATTACTGAGAAGTCTGATACCCCTTTCGTATGGACGTTTGGGACCTGTAAAATATGCGTGAGTCGGTCACCAGCAGTAAGTAATGACATTACTTAACGTCTGGCACGAGTCAGCGACCCTCATTCGCTTTTGGGTTCGCCACATCCTCAAGTAGCGGCGAACACCATTGACGCTGCACAAGCCCGAGTTTACGTTGACCTTCGAGGCTTTACCGAACAGCGAGCGACGATTGGACAGCGCTGAATTAGAACTTCGCGCCGTGATCGCAAAACGGCACGTTCCTTGAACTATTCTAAAAGGAATACTCAGGAAGCTGCTTTTTGACTTTCAGATTAGTATATGCCATCACGATTAAGCTTACCTTGCCGTGGTTTGGCGTCCTTCGACTTTAGGCAACCTTTAGGGTTGCCTGGATGGGCTGACATTACTTTTTGCAATCAATTCACCGGTCAACAAAACATGCTTCGCCACTCCGATTATCATTGTGTGGAGCGTTCCGCCGGTTAGTACCCACTTCTTGGTAAATGGAGATGTCCTATTTCTGATAGATTTATCCACGTTGATCCCGCTGTCTACTTTGATTCCCGATGAATTATAGCCGGCCCTTCAGATTAGTGTTTACCACCCTCATGATTCTGGTGGTTACACGCTAAATGCCCTCAGGCTCAACAGTGGCTACGTGGCGTCCAACGAGATAATCAGCCAAGTTGTAATTACAACTCTAGACAGGTGTGCTAAAACTTCCAGCACTCGATGCTATTGGATGCTCTGTCAAAAGGAAATTCTCCTCCCCAAATTTCGACGTCCCTGGCACTTTCCCCGATATCCGACCATAGATTGCCTATCGCTTCCTGAGGAACCGCCATATCGCTCACGCGTCCACCTTCCAGTTCTTCTTTGCAACTCTGTCACCATCCGATTAGTGGATGATATGCGGGGGAGTTGTGTGACACCGACCTGCATGGCTTGGCTAATGTCCGTATCGATAGCTGCCAGAACATCGGCCATTGCGCCATCTTCTTCCCATCTCAAACCAACAGTCGCTTTGACGATAGAAGAAAGGATAGCCAAACTTGCAAAACCCATTCCAGCTCCATATAGAGAACGGGCGCGGGCGAGGGCATGATCTAGCTCTTGTGTGGGAATGGCATGGATACCATTTTGACTAGTCGTGAATAAACCATTTGTTGTCGCTATACGTCTAGCATTGGTCTGACGAAGACGCGATCGTGCTGCGGCTGTGAATGCGGCTGCAAGACTGGGAGTGCCGGTTGCGAGGAGATTTCGAGTGATCGCGCGCAAACTGCTTGGGAGTCAGCATTGTCAGCGTTCTGACGTGGCAGCCGAGATGATAAGTACTTGCTCTTCTATCGTGGCATTTGCGATCAATGTGTCTACCTGTGAGAGCGCCCTTTAGGTGGGACTTTACGGTGTCTTAGACTGGCTCACCATCAAGTTACTGCAAACGATCATCAGTAAACGGGCAAGGATGCTAAGGGTAAGACGACGACTTACACATGCCCCAATGTTTTGGTAGTCTCAGCGTGTGTATGGAGAGGTGTAACTTCGGGAGCGGGCATTGTAACAGGATGAGCGCTGGTGAATGGATTGTGAGGGAGACACGAGTTGTCGGACAGCTAGATCCGAACTTATTTAACACTTTGCGGTGCATATTCTCGGGCATCAGCCCAGTTGGAAGTGTCATCAAGGACTGGTCCCGCAACTATTTCAAGGCAGGTCAGATCATCATTGATGAACACAGGTTGACCCTTTCGTACGGGTACGTACTACAGTCACAGCGGTTATTACTTGTTTGCCGTGAAATGAATGCTAATTTCGTTTTTTTTTCACTTTCTCCATGTCAAATCACAAAATCGGGTCTGTCAAACATGTCCTAAATGTAACAGGTGATTTCTGCATATCCCTTGGCGCCGTGGTCCGTTTGGATTGGAACGGAGTTTGATAATGAAACATTATAATGCCACATTTTGACTGCCTTGATCTCCTATCCCGCTCCCAACTATGCTTAGAACATCACCACAACCCAAAGAGACATTCCCTCTCGGTCCTTTTACTGTTCCCCGAGTATGGGTAGGTCTTTGGCAGTTGTCAAGTAATGCTTGGGGAAGCGCTTCGGCAGCGAAGATTCGTCAAGCAATGGCTAGGCACATCGAAAGAGGTTATAATGCCTTCGGTAAGTCACAATGTCAGGTCATGTGTGTTTCCCTGCAATTGTGAACGCCGTTTTTGGTAGATATGGTACGCAATCTGTGCTCCTTGATAGGTCGTTCAAATAAAGCTGACTTCGTTGGTATCGGCGTATAGGGTATGTTCAAATCTGTACCACATCTTCCATGAGCTGAGTGAGATCTCACAGCCGATCATTATGGAAGCGCGGAAATACTCTACGTAAGTTACTTCCCCGGTATCACCCAGGTCACGCCTAGAATATTCAATCAACAGGGGCAATTCAAAGAATCGTTACCCAGCCCGGCAGAAGTTGTCGGGGCCACAAAATGGTGTGTATTCCGACAAACAGAATTGTCGCGTTCTGTGGTGGAAAACGCGGTTCGGGAGCGTATGACACGCATGCGCACTACCACTGTGGACTTGTTGCAGGTGAGTGAGGGTTCGATACCCTTTCGGTACTATCATAACCCTGACCTTCTCCTATAGTTTCACTGGCAAGATTACTCCGATAAGGGATATCTCACCGCCCTCCAGATTCTTCAAGACCTCCAGAATGAAGGGCTCATCAGCGCGGTCGGCCTGTGCAATTTTGATGCCATACGAACAGATGAAATATGTACACAATTAGGGCCTGGTTTCATCGTTTCAAATCAAGTTCAGGTTAGCCTTCCAAACCAATGCTTCATTATAGTTCTCACCATGGTTTAGTTCTCTTTGATTGACACTCGACCCCTGCACGGCATGGCCGATGTATGTGAACGGCACAACGTGAAATTATTAACATACGGCACACTTGTACGTGTATCGGTTTTCTTCACCCTGATCTCGGATCACTACACAGTGTTTGGCAGTGCGGTGGATTTCTAGCAGACCAGTGGCTAAATCAACCGGAACCAGACCTGTATTCCGGTGTTTTGACGCCATCTCAGCGCAAGGTACGGATCTTCTGCTCCGTGTAGGGTCGCCTACTAGCGCATACGGCAAAATCTCATAACCGCCTATAGTATCTCGACATGATTTTGAAGGCCTGGGGGAACTGGGCACTATTCCAGTCCCTTTTGGCAGTGCTGCGTGATATCGGTGATCGTTATGGGGGGCTAAGCATTGCAAACATAGCCACACGATGGGTCCTTGATCACTCTTTTGTCGGAGCTGTAATCATTGGTAAGATATTCGTCTGTCCTCGAAGCGGAGATTTATTTTGTTGGTTGCAGGCGCCCGTTTGGGAGTTTCCGAGCACACTGATGATAACGATCGTGTTTTTGGTTTCAGCTTGACTGACGAGGACAATCGTGCCATTGAAGCAGTACAAGCTCGGTCCAATGGTCGCCGGATGATCACCTTGATAGGCGACTGTGGGGCCGAATACCGTTGACATGCTGTACTATCATTTTTCTGTACAGCTATTCATCTTGTGATTGTGTGGTGTATCTTTGATGAGAAATTAGAAAACTAGATCTGTGTACACATCTTCAGGCCAGATATAATACTATTCTCAGAACAAGGATCTGCATCATTAGGTGGGGTCCGGAAAGTTTGATGCCATGCCCAGCCTCCAGCTAATCAACGTTCTTCCATGTGATTTTTCAAGCTTCATCACATCAACCCTCGCTGCGAACACCAACATCACAAGCCACGTCGGTTCCATACGCCGTCGTTGCTGTGTTGTTCAGCATGTAAGATCCGGGACTCGTGGAGCTCCATCCGTTCTCTGTGGGCTCATCGGAGCTTACTTTTTTTTCCTTGCATAGCAATGATCTCGATGAATTATATATATATATTTGTGGGTACCGGCTATGAGGGGCAATGCAAATGAATGATATACAGTGACGGGATATTGTTTCACGAGTGCGGTGTGTGGAGATCTAAAACGCAATGTAAGCAGATCGGAACAACCAAGCCCACAGATTCGATCAGAGCCTGCAATGAGGGTACATTATAGTTTGCTCATGGAATCGGCATGTTTGGAAATCATGGCTGATGACAGTCTTTGAATCGGCTGGAGCTTCCTTTTTACATCACGCAAAATTGCAGTCTTGGGTTGCCAATCTCGGAAAGCATCTCGCAGACGAATAAAATCATCTGAAAAGAGTTCGGCGACTCTATCGTCAGCAATGAGGTCACGGAGTGCCCAGGGAATCTAGAAGGGAAATTCATTGCGAGAAACAGATATGACATGCAGTAGCAAACCTCGTAATCATTCTGCTCCGTTCGCGCATCAAATGACTCCATCGCAAGCTCAACTTGTGGGTGTTGTCCAGAGTCAGATAGGAAAAGGTACTTGATTGCGAATCTGCTTGCAGGGTTAATCACATTCATTGGTCAAAGAATAGTACTCACGAATATGTAGCAGTCTCCTCGTATGCGGTCGAATGTCCAACCCCATTCAGCGATCCAGCGGTTGACTCCGATAAATGCGCAAGGAGTCCACCATCTGATAGCCCTGCATTCCGAATACGTAGCAGGAGAACGAGGAGATTAGATAGGAAGTCTGAAGAACTAAAAAAAATTGCGACGTGAGCCGAACTTGCGTAAGATAAGTGACATGTCTGACACGCACTGGTATGCATCTCCATCAATGTAAAGCGCACGCAAAATTAAGGGATGCGCCACTGAAGTGAACAGCCCGGAGTACAGCCCTACTACTTGATCATTCAAGGACGCAATATACACCATCTTGACCTGTTGAACACGATGGCGTTAATCTGATAAATAATCAGCTATGGATATAGTGCATACTCCATTGTCCAGAACATTTCTCAAGGCCTTTACGTAGTCTCTTGAAATCTGACTGTCGGTGTTCTGATGGTGGTAACGCAATCACCTGATAATGTCCCACTTTATGCAACTAACTTACCTGAAATTCGAACAACTCCCGGGCAGCAGTCGACTCGAAGTACTAGGTTCGTTCTGTATAAACTTGGGTGCCCAACGGGATCGAATGACTTACCTGGATATAAGGTAGGACTAATGAGCTCGTGCTCAGATATCGCAGTGGTCCCAAGTGAATTCCACACAGGGCTAGACAACACACCCTTTGCGGAGGGCGTGTGATACTGCTACCAGGAGCGTTAGCAGAGTCACGTGGTGCTGTGCAGATATGGCCATCGGTGATGAGGCGATCCAAGATATGGGTCGAAACAATTGATCCCTGGGAATGCGTAGCAAAAAATATTACATCGGCAGTCTGGAGGTCATCCATCCATTCCTTATTCCCGATCAGGTTCTGATATAGCCTGTTTTCACGAGATGGTCGTGTGAGCATCAAAGAGATCTTGTTGAGAAAAAGTTGTTCAGAACGCACTTATCCACTCGGCGGCTGATGGTGCCTTCACCTTCGAGGGGTATTTTGGTGATTTTTGATAGCTTCACCTCGTGCTTGTCCTGGAATTCTTCCAACGCCTGAACAGCCATGTTCACAAACTTTAAACTTGTCCCAGTCGGCTGCATAACGATCAGTCAAACTGTGATACACACACGGCCATATACTAACCTCTCCGATAACTGTCCGCATGACAGCGCCTTCGGAGGCTGGGTATGAGCATTATTTTTCCTCGTATGAAAAATACACACACCAGGGAACCACCCGTGCACGCCAATCACAACTGCCCTTTGACATCCTCGCAGCACGTCCTGTTGTTTCTGTCCTGTAATCACATCCCACGAACGTGGGAGCGCCTTTTCATAGGGCTCCAAAGGCCTCTCCGCAGACTTTCCCTTGCCTTTCTTGTGTGAGGCAGTCTCATCACGCGCAAAGAGCACTTCGCTGACGTATTGAAATGTCTTGGAAAGAGCAGATGGAGGCTCAGGAGGCACATGGACGCGAGGATGCGTGTGAAAAGTATCGTCCCATGTGGGCAAGACCAAATTTGGTGGAGAAATTGTAGGGGTCTTCACCCCTGACTTCTTCGAGGGCGTTGGAGATGGTGGGCGCTTGTTAGCGCCAAACCGGATGGCGTTTGAAGATTTGGTAGAGCCATTAGTCGGAATAGATTTATGTTCAGGTTTATTCTGAGCTAGAGATGGCGAGGAAGGAGAAATATGCGGCACACCCGTCGAACTCGGAGATGGGATATTGACATCCTTGCTCAACGGAGCGGAACAAGTGGCTGACGATGGAGAGCCAGCTGTCGGACTGGCTTCATCCTCGTCCAAATCCATAACTTCCATTTCTTCATTGTGGCTTTCATTCGTAATGCTCTTCATCGCCACTGCACGAGCAGAAAAAAAGGAGATCCAGCCCGATTTGTTACTAGTAATTGTCGATGATATCGGATTTGCATCGCTAGCAGGTGGTTGTGGATCCGACGAAGGGGGAACAGCGATAACCATCTGGTTCAAGGGTTCATCATCTTGGCGATGTTCCGACTGAACGTTCCCCTCTCCATCGGAGACAACTTGAGTACCCGGAGGAGAACCTGTGAATTTCACAGGAGTAGACGAGCCTTGGTACCACGACCACGGGGAATACCATGCAGAGCCTTGCAACTCTGATGCATCGGTCGATGACACGGAAGGGGCCTTCTGTGGTGCGATCTGCTCCTCGGCGCTATTTTCCGACTTCGGAGGAACAACGGTGGAGTCGGCAGTTGGCTGTGCCGCCATCTCACTAACTGGTGCATCGGAAAAGACTGATGGCATGGCAGGAGCGTTTGAAACTGGTTCTGTTTGTATATGACTCTCAGATGCTTGAGTATTACTCCATTTGAGATATGTCCACCATGTGCTTGTCTGCGCGTCAGTAACCTCAGTGACACCTGAGGCACCCTTGTGAACCATCCCATCAGGTTGAGATATAGTATCTGCTGCGATATTCACCTCGGTCGTCCCTGCGACCGGAGCAGAAGGGGTCTCCGTAGCAAACGGTACGGATTCTATGAAACAATGTGTTTAGCCATCTCACTAATCGGAGGGCCGTAACAAACCTTTCGTAGTGGATTGTTGCTTGCGAGATGGAGATGACTCCGCTGGTAGCATCGTAGTGATATCATCACGCTGAGCTGCAGCAACAGTCTGTTCAAGAGGGAGCTTTGGTCGTCCGAGTAAAGGGATGCTCAGTGTAAACCGGCTGGTAGAGTGATTGAGCATCGAAGTAGACTGTGATGTATCACTGCTTTGCCGGACAGCAGACGGAGTCGCTGGAGGCTCATCCAGCGGCGAGGGTACGGAAGCGGTGCCGGGTCCAGAATGATGGCCTGCTGGCGACAAAGAACATTTATATGATGCCGAACAAGAAGTAGTTATTTTATCGTCTGAACGCATTTGTATAGGTATATCTTGAGGAAAAGATGAGGGTGGAGTGCTTTGGCCAACATCTCCAGTTATATTGAGAACAGGTGGTTGATGTGGGAGTGGAGAGGCGGTAAGAATATCTGAATGTAGAGGTTTCGATGATATCGATGATCCCCTCGCGGATGCTTGCATCGAGCTCGGGGGTCGGATCGTCTCGACGCCAGATTCAGGTGACTGTTCCCCTTTTCCTCGGGTCCACAAGGCAAACCAAGAAGATTTATGAGACGAAGTTGTGACGGATGTATCGCGAAGAGAGATAGGATCAGACGGAGCAGGCGCTGTTAAGTCTATGGAAGTCACATCTGCACCTGGCTGGACGGTCATTATGTCGCTCTCGCTAGGCGGTCGAAGCGTAGGAATATCATGTGAACCTGGGAATGATATGACACAATCAAAAGTGAGAAAGCATGAAAATACGAAAGGGTACCTTCTGACGCCAACGATTGATCATGAGCGGTCGGCACTTCAAGTTGCTCTACTTCGTGGGCACTGGTGGGCTGGCTGAAAGGAGCAGAGGCCGGTATCTCGTCTAAAGATTCCTCTGGCTGAGCCTTTGACATTGAGCTTAATGTAGATGTAGGATTAGCTTTGCGCAGGATCTGAGGTAGCTTCTCAGCTGCGGTTTGGGACGACGAAACGTGTTGTGCTTCCCCAAAGACCAGAGATATGGAAGGAATTGAGGATTTCTTGATAACAATCATACGGTTCCAGCGATGGTGACGAGGACGAGAGTTCATGCGAGAAAACTAATGGATTGTAGCGAGTCACTGAAACATCGAACAACAAGTGCTGGTAGAGTTACACCAGACACGCACTCTCAGAGCAGCTTTCCTATTTCAGCTATTAAGGTAAGCCGCACGTGACGTGTCACATGATGAGCCACGCAGTTGAAAACTATTCTGGGACTGGGCCACTCTGGGGCCTGGGCGCCGTTTGATATGCATTTTTACGACCCAAGGAGACGACCACCACACGTTTATCACTCGCATGATTGATATGAAGCACAGAGCTTGGGACCACCTATGGAAGGTGGGCCCGGGAGCCACAATTGATGTAAGACATGCAAACATCTCTGCAAGTCCTTACTGAGAGCAACCAATTCGTTTAACGCGTATTGGGTTTGTGTGAACAGGCTGGACCGTCTTGTCCAACCACCCATTTCAAGTCTCTAATGTTGAACGAACGGCCTGTGAGTATATTCGTCCTCCATCGACCTGTTACCTTGCTCACTGGAGCAACAGTCGCTGTTCTGTTGTCAGGGCGTGAGCTTGTTCATTCATTATTTGACAACCTCATTCCTTACCAAAATCATTGCTGATCCATTGATAGACTGAGTGATTTGATCTACCGTCGAGCTCGAGTCATGCTGACTGACGGCATCTCCCATCCGTACACAACCCTCGTGATGCTGTCCGGCACAACCCTCGTGGTGCCCTTCGTGACCCGGGACCCCTCCTGTGGTAACTCTCGCGACCGTCTGCACCTACACGACCACCATTACCATGTGCGTCATGCAAGGTCTTGAAGACTGGAAGATTCTTGTGATGCAAAGTACTCCCGTTTTCCATAGAGCACCGCTTTTTGCAAATTATACTGTTGCTTTCATTCGACTTCGAGATCCACATCCTTGTTCGGTCACCTCGCGGGCTCAGGTACGAAAACATAGAGTTCGTTTCAATGACTTATGATTGGATGCAGACTGTAGTGCGCAGCTTCACTACAAAATGCCATTCAACTTCAGTAGGCACACAATCTTGCTCAAGTCGTTGCGCCCTATGACATTTTACTGTACTAACACACTGGTGGTTTGGAAGTTTTTTACTATGCAAGATTTGTTTTCAAATTTCGAAATGTCAGTGATAAGGTTGGCATTCTTGCTGTACATTTGGACACAGTAAAAACAAGTGAATTAGGTCTGTACGTCCACGCTGATACCATACTACGTAAAGTGGTGAACTTGAATAGTTTCTGAACGTGCACTACATACTAGATGAGATCACCCAGTGATTAATGTCACACGTGCATGTGACGGGCGTGTTTGTGACAATGTCGCGTTCAAGTGCTTATTACCAGTATCACTTAGACCGGTAAGCAACTGCCAGTACCTATAAGACCAATAATATTTCAAGTTGGCTTGGTCAATATGCCCCTCATCCGCATAGAAGTGAGCGATTTCAAGTCGTATCGGTGCGCCCATATAATATCTTGTCAAGGACTAAGTCATAGATCTAATAATTATCGGGTCTACCTATTCCCTTCCAGGGGCCACCAAGTCATTGGACCGTTCAAGAACTTCACCTCCGTTATCGGCCCCAATGGTGCTGGAAAATCAAATCTCATGGATGCAATCTCTTTTGTGCTCGGTGTAAAGAGTGCGCAACTACGCAGCAGCCAGCTGAAAGATCTCGTCTACCGTGGGCGACGGCTCGCCAAAGGCCCTTTAGATGGCTCCGATGCCACGCAAGACCAGGAAGACGATGATAATAGTGATGACCAGGGTGAAGGGACCGCCAAGAAGGCATGGGTGCTTGCAGTGTTTCAGGATGAAAAGAGAAAGGAGTGGTTATTCCAACGAACGTGTGTTCCACCTGGTTTGACATACTCAGGAATTCTGACTGTTATTTTCAATGCAGCATATCGACCACTGGAGCGTCTGAATACCGTCTTAACAATAAGGTCGTCACCTACTCCGTGTACAATGCCGCCCTGACGTCCCACAACATCCTCGTCAAAGCCAAGAACTTCCTCGTCTTCCAGGGTGATGTCGAGGCTGTCGCATCTCAGTCTCCAAGAGAGCTTTCACGCCTCATAGAGCAAATATCAGGTTCTCTTGAGCTTGCCCAGGAGTATGAGAAAGCCAAGGAAGCTCAAGAACGCGCAACAGAGAACGCAACATTCAACTTCACGAAGAGGAGAGGAATCGCGGGCGAGATCAAACAATATAAGGAACAAAAAGGCGAAGCAGAACGATTTGAGAGCTTGTGCGATCAAAAGGTGCGCCTGCGTTACATTCCTTTCAGTGCAATACTCATGTGTTCCCAGGATGACCTTATCTTGAAACGCATTCTCTATAAGCTTTTCCACATTGAAGAGGCACTCGAAGCGAATGCCCGCGACATTCAAACAAAGTCGAAGGCCCTCGCTGGTTTACGTGCAGAGCATGAAGAACACGAGAAGGCTCTTGAGAACGTGCGTGCAGAACAAGCGAGGGCCCGCACAGCAGTCGTACGAGAGGAGAAGAAAGTCAAGAAGGCCGAAAAGGCGTTGGAAGCTAAGGTAAGCTGATTTTGCTATTTGCTACTAACTAACTTTAACGCATAGTAGGAACCTGAGCTAGTGGAGGTCGACGCTCAGATCAAGCACTCATCCAGAAAACTGCAAAATTCACAGAAGATACAGGAGCAGGTTGGCAATGATGCTGAACGTCAACAAGCTAAGCACCACTCGCTTAGGCGAGATCTTTCCAATGCTAAACAGGCTGCAGATGAGGCTGCAGGTAAGCCATCCGTTACATCGTTTCCTTTTATTTCATCCTCTTTATATGCAGAGGCACACAGACGTGCATCTCAACATAACACTTCCCTCAGCGAGGACAGTCTAGCCGAATATCGCTCACTGTGAGTCACACACGTCAGCGCGTGTTTTGCAGTGTTAATGCCACGAACAGAAAAGCATCAGCCAGCGTCCTCGCCGTTTCTGAGCGTCAGGCTCTGGAGACGCTCGGTCGAGACGAAAAGACAACATCCCGGACACTTACTCAAGCGAGGGCCAAAGATGAAGAGTTGCAACGGAACCAAGAAAGGCTGCGCGGCGACGAGCAAACTCAGAAAGCCAGCAAGTCAGAGGTACGTTCTTTCGAGTTCATCATATACCACCCGCTTATTGATTCTCAAAGCTCGAGGAAAAGCTGGCCACCCTCCAGAGCGACCATGCGCGCTCAAAGCAAGAATACGAGAATCAACAGAGTGAGCGTACAAGGATCAGGTATTTCTTTCTTTTCCAAGCACTTGCCACACCATTTCATTGTTGTTCCGTAGCCGTCTTGAGACCGAAACAAACGAAAAGCTCGCGGATGTCTATCAGCGTTTACTCCAAGCAGGCGTCGACAGGAATGAATCCGAGCGCGAGGCAAAGCTGAAGGAGACGCTCGCCAGTCTGCAGCGTATCTTCCCAGGTAAGCGCCGCCTGCCTGGTCCGAGAAAGCCACCGCTCACATTCCATAGGCGTCCGCGGGCGGGTGGTCGACCTCTGTAAACCTACACAGCGCAAGTACGAGACAGCTGTATCTGTCATCCTTGGGCGCAATATCGACGCTGTCGTCGTGGACGAAGAGAAAACTGCCATTGAATGCATCGACGTGCGTTTCTCTGTGTTCTGTCATTGTTTATCTAAAATAATTTTGAAACATTATAGTATATGCGCACCCAGCGCGCAGGTCAAGCAACTTTCCTTCCCCTCGACACCATCAGCACCAAGCCAATCAACGACAAGTTCCGCTCATTTGCTAGAGGTGCACGTCTCGCTGTGGACGTGATCCAGTATGAGCCTGCCGTAGAGCGCGCGATGCTCCATGCGTGTGGGAATGCACTTGTGTGTGACACGATGGATGTGGCGAGGTACGTGTGCTGGGAGCGGGGGCAGGAGGTGAAAGGTGGGTTGGTATTCGTTTTCGGGAAGTTGGACGCCATGCTAACATTCGGGCAGCCGTTACATTAGAAGGCACTGTCATCCATAAGAGTGGGCTTATTACCGGTGGGCGCAGCACGCATGGGGGAGGAAAGAAGTGGGAAGAGAAGGATGTGCAAGGTAGGTAGCTCACTGACCGTGGCGCCTCACACTCATTTATATGTAGGCCTTACCCGTCTTCGTGACAATCTTGTGGCACAGCTTCAGGAATTGAATCGCTCGAAACCGAGGGGCAAGGCAGACGAAAACGTCATTGCTGAAATTACACGACTAGAGAGTGCTATAGCTGTTATAAGAGACGATCTGGTACGTTCTTGGAACAGTAGCCGCCGGTGGCATTACCATAATCTCATTGTTCTATCTGCGGTATCTAGAGCGCCTGCAAATCCCGGTACAACGGCATCAAAGAGGAACTAAAGCACGTCGAGCGGGAGCTCAAGAAGCTCTCTCCTGAGCTCAAAAAGGTTCACGCAAACTGTGTAGCAGAACCAAATGGAACTGACCATAATTACAGGCTCAAACTTCACACTTGAAACTCTCTTCCCAAATCGCAGAACTCCAATCTGCTATTGACTCAGCTGAGGACGGCGTATTTGCCTCGTTTTGCTCCCAGATCGGTGTCGAGAATATTCGAGAGTACGAGGAGCGTCAGCTGAAAGTCGCAGAAGAAGAGAGCCAGGCGCGACTTAGATTCGATCAGCAGGTTGCGAGGCTGACGCACCAGTGAGTTCTATTTTCCGCAGTTTTGAGGTTAGGAGACGGAACTGACATGTGTGCGCAGGGTTCACTTTGAAGAAGAGCAGTTGAAGTTGACACAGTCGCGCCTGGTGACGCTACGGAACGCGGCTGAAGATGAGCAACGGAAAGTAGCGGAGCTAGAAGAAAAGAAGCAGACCATTCAAGTTGAAATCACGGAAGCGCAGGAGGGCATCGCACAACTTAGAGAAATGTTGCAAGGCCTTAATGATGTGCTCGAAGAGAAGAACAAGCATGTCGATCAAGCCAAAAAGACGCACACGAAAGCTGCCAAGATACTTGACCAGGCTCTCAAAGAGATCGGTCTGAAGGTACGCTGATCGTTTGCTCAGATAGCTCGGCCACTTATGATTCATCGATTCACCTTCAGAACGACGAGATTGAGAAGCTGGCACTAGAACGATCGGCGACTTACAGGAAATGCAGGCTCGAGGACATCAAGCTACCTCTACTGGAAGGAAATTTGAAGAACGTCCCAATGGAAGAGGTGAGGCCGTTTATTTGAAAGGTCATACGCGCATTCATTTCGATTCTTGGTTAGAACCTTCGCGAGGAGGTAGCGATGGATGTTGATGATGACGATGGTACCCAACAACCACGACAAGTCCAAGATTATGGTATTGAAGTTGACTTTGACTCTTTGACCGAGGAGGAGCGTGCGGTATGTAAGCTTTGACGGAACAGTATCGCGCTTGACTTTCATCACAGGATAATTCTCCTGAGACTACTGCTGAGTTCGATGCACAAATTGCGAAACTCAACGGAGAGATCGAGAGAATGGCACCCAACTTAAAGGCTATTGAAAAGTATGTCGACTCCTATTTTTCAATGACTTGATAGTGATTGTTGGACAGGCTAGACAATGTCGAGGCCAAACTTGCAGACACAGAGAAAGAAGCTGATAAGGCACGGAAAGACTCAAAAAATGCGCGCGATCAGTTTAACGATGTCAAGCGAAAAAGGTATGTGAATAGTTTACTTTGAGCGCCATCCTCATCCCAGCAACCAGATGCGAGTTATTCAACAAGGCATACAACCACATTTCAGATTGCATCGACCAGGTCTATAAAGACCTCACTAAAGGGAAGGCTTCGCCGATGGGGGGCGTCGCATATCTTAGTTTAGAGGACAGTGAGGTGAGTCTTTCAGTCTGTCGAGTCCAGGCCATTTTACACTTGTTGATCACAGGAACCTTATAATGCCGGAATAAAATATCATGCCATGCCACCGATGAAGCGATTCCGTGACATGGAACAACTCTCGGGCGGGGAGAAGACCGTGGCTGCTTTAGCTCTACTTTTCGCGATACACAGGTTTGGTCTTTTCGTCTTCACCCCAAAAACCTTTGTTCTCACTATGTCTCAAGTTATCAGCCTGCACCGTTCTTTGTCCTTGATGAGGTAGACGCTGCTCTGGACAATACCAACGTTGCCAAGATCGCCAACTATATCCGGAGCCAGGCGTCCGACTCCTTCCAGTTTATCGTCATCAGCTTGAAGGGTTCCTTGTATGAGCGTGGTAATTCCCTTGTTGGAATCTACCGTGACCAAGATGTAAATAGCTCTCGCACGCTGACGTTGGATGTAAGTTATTGCTAAATGAATGTGTGCGGGATCAGGTACTCACAAACTTACAGTTGACTCAATACGATGAATAGTGGAGCTTTTATTGCTATTTTGCTACCTGAGCTGCATCCCTGTATATTTTATTGGCTGCATTTTGTCCATCGATAATTTGATCAACGCAACAATTGGACTCAAGAAGACGATTTGAATGGCTGGAGTCGTGTTTTGGGGCCAATGATCATCAGTTCGTCCCTGCTGAAACTATTCTCATTCCATGATCTTTCATCGGGAGGTGCAAGTATAGGGCAACTAGCAAACTACCGACCATCACTACCGCATGCTGATACAAACATTTGCAAGCTGCGGATAGTGTTGGAATGACAGACAGTACTTCTAGTGACTATTGCCATTCCTTGAGAGCGAGAACAAGCCAACCAAGTACTCTTACCTTCGAAAGGTCCAGCATTTCTTTCAAGTCAAATATGTATGCGAATAGCTGCCGTCATTCGGTGCGCAGTGAAGGTTTGATTGACTGTGGGGTCATCCGGCGAATCTCACCCTCCTCAATTGTCTCCAGATCAACCGCTCTCTTGGGCAGCATATAAGCACCCTCGACTGTAGCCAATCGTCCACCTACAGGTACCGGTTGAGCATGATGTCTGCAGACGAAACTCGAGCCTTCGCATTAGCGCTTAGCGCTCCTACAATGGATACGAAACTATCTTCCTGAGTGGCATGAAAAAGGCTCAAAACCACCGAGCAAGAATGACTGTCACAGCACGGAAAGAGTAGCTGGCTTCTGGACAGGATGAGTTCATCGTGTATTGATCAACGAGCCTGATGCACTTTGAGAATTACATCTATAGATGATTAAAGCTTACGCGATGCAATATTATTGCGCAGACTACTGCGCCGGCAATGCTGACGGCCGGCCAGGCGAGTGACAATGAGAAATATCTTTTTGGGTCACTTTTACATGGCACGTAGCCGCATGATCATGATGACCCGCGTGATATTTCGGTCAAGTCAATGTATTGTACCTGCGTCCTGCAGTTATAACAAAACTTGTTTATTATAATGCAACGTCCGTCATCCGACCTGAGAAATCTAGTGAGCGATTAGCCCTGAAGGATCACGACTTCAAAATGTACGGTATTGAACCACATGCATATTCCTTGTTATCGATTCAACTGGAAAAATATCGAATCTTCGAAAGAGATAAACGGAAAGAGAAATTTGTGACACGCAAGCTGCCAGCCTTGGCTGCGAGATGCAACCCTTGATTGGGAGGTAATGTCATCGTAACTCATGTGGTTAGGTCGCGAAATTCCGTCTGCCTACGCATGCTAGTTAGTTATCTGGGTCCTTGTGGGTTGTATTAGAGTCGCACCTCGACCTTGAGAAGTCTGACACGATGTGAATGAAGAAACTGCGCATGCGGTCAGAAAGAAAACTTGGGTGCTTAATCTACACAGCAAGCTGTGAAGAACGCGGGATGAAGCACACAAAACGCACCTGTATACAACTTTAACAGCGACTTGGACATTCGACTCTGTCGCACAAAACGAACTCTGTTGTAACTCTCACCATTCGCGCGGTGCCATAAAGTACCTCTGAGTAGACGCTCGATGGAGGGCTGTATTTAAGTATGTAATTTGAGGCGAGTCTCAAACAAAGATGTAGAAAATGACTAAAAAAGATGCCTCAGTCGACGGTGACAGCCCGACTTCTGAGATCGTTTTTAGCTTCATTTATTTCCTACAGACAGCGATCAGCGTATAAATACTTGAGAAATATAACCAATGCTTACCTGCAGCAACTCGTGATAGGCTTCAGGACAGTCACGAAATGTAAACACTCCCCAGCCGAGACTCCAGAGGGAATATGACCCAAATGACACCAGAAGCCACCAAGGAATCTAATTTATGTTATGGGGGCGTGAGCTGAGACGTTTGTGCCAATAAGTGTATGAGAACGCACGACAGGAAGAATCTCTTGGGCTACACTGGCGTCAATGAATGGTATGGGCAGTGCCTCAAATAACACCAGTAGATAGATCAAAATAAGGATGGAGGAGTATATTGAGACTCGTTGCAAACGAGCCATAATTCAATAGAACAGGGAGTCCTTGAGAAAAGTGGTTGGCGAATGATTTATGATAGATGAAGACTGGTCGTCGTGCTTGACAGCGGGCGTGTCGATTGCTTCCGGGTCACGTGATTTACCTGAAGTCAGTTCTTTTACATATCTCCCGGTCATTTATCGGAAACCATGTCTTTACTCTGCAAACGTCCCTCTGCAGGGCTCTTGTCACCATTTCTGATAACAAGAAGTGTCTCTACTTCTCCATACGGTCGCTCACATGTTTTCAAGCAACGTCTACCCAAATTGCCCAACCCAGTAGTTCCTCATTTCCCTCAGCGCGTCGTTCGTGCGGACGGCTCATCATACATGCAATGGACGACATCGCCACGCTCACGAATAACGTTGACGCGCGATACAACAAACCACCCTCTTTGGAACGCTACTCACCGTTTGAGCGGAGCGGTCGGAGAGGGAGGTATAGAAGATGAAGAGCAGGAGGGCACTGGTCGTTTGGGACGCTTCAAGAGAAGGTTTGGACAGGAAGTCGGTGTGGGAGAGTGGACTGAGCTTCAAGAGGGCATTGAGGCTGAAGTGGAGCCTCCAGCGAGCAAAAAGCAAAAGGCAACCCCGAAGAAATGAGTGCGTCGATGCCTCGTCTGTCTTTGGTCCTTGGAGTGTGTTTGCCCTTGGAGTAGTTGAAAATCCTATCTCACCGGCTTTTTTCAGCTTCTCGCAGCGGACTCCGTTGCAAGCATACTTAAGTTGGAACTTGTCATTTTATCACTAAGATGCACATTTACCTCAATCAAGTATGTTTCGGGTGTTGAAACGTTGATACCTTGCCATCAATTTCAAAAGTACAAAAGTTCGTCTTGTACATACCGTGTACGTACGTCTTGGCTGTCTTCGCAATGCGCTTGTTCCTGCCTACTCTCGCATCGCTGTATCACCCATGTCAGCCTTCACTAATCCATTGGGCTCCTTGCTGTTTGCGTCTCGACTCTCATTTGATGTTTGAACGTTAAACGTCAATATTCCATGCCCTCGTGAGTCGTTGAGTCTAGATATATTAAGGATTCGGATGTGATGCGAACGTTTATGTAATTTGGAGCATGGTTCCATTTTGCAGCTTCGCTCAACTCCTCATGCATGTCCAGACCTCCGGGAAGGAGAGTTAGTCTGTCGCTGCCTCGCTGCCCTCTCCGTCGCTCCTAGGTGAGGTCCGATGAAGTTCAACATGTTTGGTTCGGCACTGCCGTCAACATTCGGTTGTCAGACGTCTCTAAAGGCGCTCATCTGACTCAGGCTTTGTACCTACATGCATCCATTGTCCACGTTTGATTGCAGCTTCCCTCAACTCCTCATGCATGTCCAGACCTCTAGGGAGAGTCGGTCTGTCGCTGCCTCTCTCCCTCTCCGATGAGATCGTTTTAAATCGATGAAGTTCAACATGTTTGGTTCGAGCTATGCAGGCACTGCTGTCAATGTCAGACGCCCTAAGGGCGCTCATCTGACTCAGGCTTGACTGCATGCAACCATTGTCCATGTTCCTCGCGAGCATCGCTCGTCGCATAGTGTTCCGGAGTATACTAGTAGTACTAAATTATTTGTTTGTTAGATTCATCACAAAAACCGATTACTCTCCGCCTCCATCCCCTTCGCCATCCTCAGCATCACCACATTTGAAGACAGACTCGAGAACTACAGCAGGTAAGTCAGCCAAAATTTTGGAGATCATCCACGTAGAAATAACATACCCCGTTCCCAATGAATACCTCTGCCTTCTCTGCAATTGCCATGTCTACCGCCATAGCCACATGCTTTTGCTCCGAATCGAGCACGATATCAGTGCTGCTTACCAAGTCATCCCACCCGTCCTCCTCAAGCGCGTTCTTCAGGTCATCGAGACTCCATGCCCATTCGTTTGAGAGCACATACACTCGTTTCAGCCCAGGATACTCTTTCCGAATGTTCCTTAGCCTTTCGACAACCTGCTCCGTTGATGGCCAGCAATGATCGAGATAATACGACAGCCTTGCATCAGTGTCGTTGACATACGGAGACCGATCGAATCGATCAGGGAGCGATGGATGTTGATTTATACCCATGTAGTCTGCGCCCCACTTTGCAAGATTCGGACAATGTCGCTTGTAATCGCCCCTGCGTAGGTGCACTGCGACCAGTCCAGCGAGTGATTTACGGGAATGTGCATCATAGAGGTCTTTAGCAGACTCTGGTTGAAGGAGCGCAAAATTACGCGAAACCGCCGCTTGCACAAGCGGCGACCAAGCGAAGTCCGTCAACATAGGCGATTTAGTCAAAGATTCCCAGACGGAGAGAATCCGTGGGTTTCCGAAAAAGCTTGACGACCGATCAATCATTTAACCCGGCATTTTGTCGGATAAGAACTCACTATCTGTCGAAGACATCGTGGGCAGACGAATCTATTTCTATGCATGGCTCTTGCACAGATGCGAGCTGATCTACCCACCAATCGATCATGACATTGCCGTCCGCATCGTTTGGCGCGGTCAGAGAGCTGATAACGCGTTTCTGGCTGTCAGGACCCCCACAGACTTGTGTATAGAACTCGGCGTTCACTGCACGGGGTGCATTCGGTGCGCTAGGCATCGGCCCTCCTGCGGTTGGCCCTGATATGAGGGCGTTTAATGGTATGCGCGCGGGACGCAGAGCGAAATCGTAAATTGTCCATGGAAGTGGTAAGTGCGACCATGTATAGTCCTCGAAGACAAATGATACGTTGGTCGCGTAGGCGAGGTAAGACATCAAAATACTGATGAGAACGATTAGCCACTTTTGAGACTTGATATGATAATACCAATACATACGCTTCCTGAAGAACATTATTGAACCCGAAGCCCCACAGGTGACCTGGAAATCGTAGGTACTGCGGCTGATGTCTGGACAAGGAGTGTTGAGGGAGATGGTGTTCGAATAGCCTGATATCATCATAGTTTGGTGGTATGCCCTGGCAGATAATTGCAAGGAACAGAAACACCGGGACGAGGGTGACGGAGACGAGGACTTTTCGAAGGGTGAACACACGGATGAAGCTACGCCATGAGCAAGAATGTTGACGACGGTATTTAGTGGTGCGTAGTGGTATGGAGGGAGATGTGGCGCCAAGAAGGATGTACTCTTCCGGTCTGAACGTCCAAGAAAATGCACTGCGCACACTACGGGGCATCCAACCTACGGCCTTCATCAATCGGGCTAGACTTCGTTTGTAGTGCGGGACTTGACGGGACTGTCTAACGCTCAGCCAGGAAGTGGGCGGTACGCCGTAGTGGGAAGGGAGGTAAATAGGCGGATGAGGAAACCTCTGGGTAAAATAGTTGGTCGCGGTGGAAGTGAGAATGCTGGAGCTGCGGACAAAGCGGTATAGTTATATGGAATATGAAATTATTATAACTAAGCATATGAACTATGTTCATGCATGTGTTGAAATTGTTGATTCGTGCCAGCACCGTGGAGACCAAATGTGGTCTGCAACCGCAGCGTGCACTCCTGGAGTCTCCAAGCCAATCCGTAATCAGGGAAGTAGTAATAATATTTAGACGCTCAGTTCTGAATTTAGCGTACGGCAATGCCGCAAGTTTCAACGGAATTTGTTTCCCACTGTTCACGTTCTCATGAATCGTAAGCCAACTAGTTGGTCTTGACCTGTTTCAGTACCCTCACGGTTTACTGACAGATCTTCACTACAAACGACAACTGCATGCTTACCAGCAGGCCCAAGCTGTTCAATCCACGGCAGTCGACAAACACAACTGACTCCAATACCGCAGCACAATCTACTGCCACTAGCTCGGACGCACCCACGCCAACTATCAGCAACAGTCAGGTGCGTGTCTTGACTTCGGACCGGGAGACCAAGCCCAATTTTCCCTATGCACTGTTATCATTTTGCGCAGCAATATTTATCTCTGAATGCAGGCATCCACGATAACGTCTATACTGTCAACCAGCCAGCCTGGTAGCTCCCAGGCTACCAGCGATAGTTTACCATCAAGCAGTCCCACACCATCCTCTTCTGATGTCAGTACTACGAGTTCTTCTACTTCTGTTATTACAACGTAGGTATCTTTGGCATCTTTTTGTTTACGAGCTATCTAACGAAAATTTACTCTAACTAGGTCATCTCAGTCTGACTTGACAGCATCATTGTCACCCGTTACATCTACAAGCTCAGAAACTTCGAGTTCTACACCTACATCTCAGCCACCTACTTCCACAACTTCATCCGTATCAACACCATCCTCTACCTCGGTCTCAGCTCCAACACCGACCAGCACCAGCACCCCCACCAGCACTTCCACCAGCACTTCCATCAGCACCTCCACCGTCACCTTATTACCATCACCTACTCAAAACAACCCGACGTCTACGACTCCAACTTCCACATATGCAAGCCAGACGACATCGACCATCACCTCGTCTTTTGTGACGGTTGTAGGTGGAACTACCATGACAGTACGTGCCTTTGTTTTACCAACCCAACTCCTTTTAACACGCCATCAGTCTTTCAGTTTGATCCCTACGGTCATCAGTGAACCCTCGACCACCACTACAGGCGCAACTGATCGCACTGCCGTTATCGCTGGCTCCGTGATTGGTGGAGGCCTATTCCTAATCATTGGTCTTTCTGTATTTTTCTACCGCCAACGTCAGCGCTTCAAACACTTCCACTTCCTCGATGCTATCAATGTGCGCAGGCGACAAGCCCGTGCCAGAGCAACAATACTTGCGAGCGAAGACCTTGAGGACGTTGGTGTCGCACGTCCGTCTCCAGGAAGATACTCCGATCATGATGCCCCCTGGGATCCGCATGATAGCTCTGGGTCTAATCATACTGAACGTCGCACACTCATGGGTCACATGGTACAGAGTGGGGACATTGACTTGAGCCACATCATCGACGATGTCATGGGCCCTTCAGCGTTAGGCGTGCACTACTCACAAAATTCCCTATCATCTTCCTATCGCGACTGGTCAGGGGATGAGTCTGCGCCTCAAACTAGAGAGAGAACATCGCAAATTGCGTTACTAGAAGCCGCAGGGCTGAGTACCACGGGAGGCCCCAGCATGCAACCTATGCAGCCTAGCCCACTTGGGAACAATGATCCTGATCCTGTTGTCACAGGTGGCGGTAATGCCCTGTGACAATGATGCCAGTCTATATCTGTTTTATCTTTCGCTTGTTGTACAGCATTAACGCGCTGTGATCAAGGTGGATATGCCGAACCCCTTGCATCTGTACCGAGTTGATCGGTCAATTCTACTCAAGTTGGCCTGATCTAAAAATCAGATGACTGTGTTCTTTATATGTGCTGATCTTTATTCATACATAATGTTTGTTGTTTCACTCTGTCGCATATGTATACATTACTTACTGTCGTGGTCGTTCACTTCGAACATTACTGGACATGGATGAGTCGTTATAATCATGCCACGGACTTTTCACGGACTTTACTCTTTGACTCCCTCGTTATGCACTCCTAGCAATACTATTGACGATGGATGATGCTAATCATGCATTTTGATTCCCTACTCCTATAAAATCAATCGTTGAATTCAAGTTTTGAGTAGTCACCTGTAGTACTAGTTGAGTATTCCACTTGCGACTCAGAGTATTGTTAACCGGTCTATATAATAACTCAGGCAGCATAAAGTGTCTCCAAACAAGAACTCAGCAAGTCATGTTTCAAATGGACAATAGAGATAAGCGCGAAGTAATTAATTAATATTGACTTAGATGAAGTTGGGTTTATCGAATATCAAATATTGTCCGAAGACGAGCGGAATGTCACGTTCCTATGTGCGGGCACACGTGGCCGATGCTGCGGCTCAGCGCTCAGTGTTTCAGAAGTCGGGCTGGGGCAATGATAACACTGCCACTTTCGTTTTTTCTCAATCTATGGACTCCGATGGCTACGGCAAGATGAACATCATCTCCCTGCACTGGCAGGCCTGAACGTTAACATTCATCATCCGACGAAATGATTGATTCACAAAGTCGAGTTACCTGTTCGAACAAAGTACTACTACAAATAGTCTTACAACATAAGCTACTCCTCCCAATTGCCTACGATGGTAGAGTGTCCAACAAAAGGTTCAGGATACCAAGGAAAGCTGATGCGGATGTACACGCTAAGACAAGCGCACCGATCCAGGCAGCCTTAGCCTGTGCAGCTTGAGCTGCGGTTTCGATAACCACATCATACGCTGCTCCTCCCCTGCTAAACACGCTGGAATTGCAGAAACACCTATCGTAGAAGTTGGAGTACTGGAATACGCACGCCATGATCGCCAAAAAAAAGTTTAATATGGCAAACAATTTGCCCGTCCACCGCAGAATGTGCGAAAACGCCAAAGTAACACGTGTAGATAGCGATGCTCGGCGAGGGTCAGCGGCGGCAGAGTGGGCGAGAATACTGGATATCAGGAGCATCATCCAAACTAATGTCGAAATGGCTCCGTAAAGGAGATAACCCAAAGATCGACACCCGATTTTCTGTCAGACGTTAGCCAACTCGATTACAAGTATACAGGAAGACCCACTGTTGTAGGAGTGAACCACGCCACCACAAATGCTGCTCCGACTGTCCCCCATTGTAATGCAAGCGAAACGCAGGAAGCGATGAGCATTCTTGTGAACACACCAGGTGCCCAATGGCTGCATTGACTCTGCACCCCGTCGGGTTCTGCGCAGTACATAACGGAGTATTGGAGGGACCCGCGTCGGTCTTTTTTGTCGTAATTGTCTTGCTTAGTGTCGATGTACTGGACGGTCTCGATGTGGTCGGTAGGGTCGTTAGTACCAGATTCGTCCCCATCACTCCCACAAACAGGAGGATGGCTATGAACCTTTTCTGATGCCTCTGAGTCTTCTTTGAACACCGTGAAGACGGTCTCTGCTGTAGATGCCCATCGCAGCGAACGCGAGTAATTGAACACCGGAGGGGTGAAGAGTTCATCTGGTGACATCACATCATTCTCTTTGGCAGTTATTGCCAACGCTCGCCGGGATGACGCAGGAAGCGCTCCAGCACCATGACGAATGTCTTTTGTTCCTATGTGCATACTGTGTCTGTCTGCACGGTCATACGCGGCTTGTAAGCGATCGAAGTCGCATTTTGGGGAGAGTTGCAGCCATCCGACGACTATCGGAATCAACCACAGCCACATTGAGCCAGTGGCCTCTCCGTTAGATTGAACGTTTGAATAAACGTTCGATAGTGAGTTGGCAACTGTCAGGATATAGGCGACAATGACCCATGCGATGGAGGTTGCGGACGCGATTGACCACGTGTGGGTGTAGTCCACAAATTCAGCGAGACATTTCCACCACTCGGTTTCCGGAAGGATGAGAGAGGGTAAGCGTTCGCGATCAGGATGCAGTCTGAGAGGGACTTGTTGAAGGCTGCTCAAGATAGAGAGCGCGAAGCGTGAATTAGGATGATCATTCAGCAAGTCAAACCGGCGGGTGATCCACCGAGAGTTGAGGAGGGTGATGAATAAAGAGTAACCGGCGAGTGTCGGTGATCCAACGGTCAACACAGCAGACATGAGGTTATCAAGCCTGTACTGTGCCCCAAAGGGGAGCTGCGAAATCAGTGCAAGATTTGGCAGCAACCACGCGCTGAATTCTTGCGAAAATTCAGACCACTGGAAAGCTTCTTGCCCAGTCCCGCACTGGGATGTACACATTGAGTAGCTGATCGATGTTGCATCAGAGATATTTGATATGGGATCTCCGTTACCATCGAGTAAACCATTTAAGTCGTCGGTAGCATTTGCATTCTGAACGATATCGTTCAGACACTGAGCGAAATTGACTGCCGCAACGACTGTTCCGGCAGCGTGAACCAGTAGTAGTAAGAGAGCTACGCCAAAGTAATAAATGAGAAAACCAGAAACCCATAGTCCAGTCATTGCGCTTACCTGCCTGAGGGCCTTTGTGCAAGCGCATCAGATTCGTCGTGTCAACTATTAGGCCTGTATGAATCGGTTTGACCTACCAGAATCAGCGTCTCTGCTTTTATACTCCGAGTCCAGTGACTGTCAAGGAGGCTCCACTAATCAGATCTAAAGGGCAGTGTTCTTGAAGTTTGTTCGGTGACTTCCGACTCGGACGGGGCAGCGGGCCTGAAAATGACATAGGGCCCATCTCATGGCTATGAAGTCCTGACCTGCGTTGTCCATCAGGGAAGGTTTGTCTACCAAACTGCCAAAAAGATCGTGTACAGCGTGTACTAGTAAGTACATGGACAGGTTACACAAGCAAAATAAGTACAAGCGTCACACACACGCACACATGCGCAATTACATAATATAACTAAGGAACAAGGTACAACCGGAAGTATAGTGTAGTATATTATCTTCGGAGATCTCATATAGGTACGAGATCAGTCAATAAACTCATGTAAAAAATGAATCCCAAAGAGACAGACCCAGCCAAAGCCAACGCTCCGAACCAAGCAGCTTTGGTTTGACCTAAGTCTACACCGTTGAGCTCGACAATGTAATAAGCATATTGGACCCCTCTCCCCATCACACTTGAGTTGCAATAACAATTATCATAGACATCTGTAAACTGCAGCATCCCCGCTGCAATTATCCAAATTGCATTGATGATTGCCACCAACTTCCCTCCCCATCTCAGAAGGTTCGATGCTAGCTTTACGAGCCTGAGGGTGGTAGATGAGAAAGGACTCCTGGGTCTGTCCGAGTGTGAAAATACGTAGTGCGACAGGATGCTCGACATAACGAGCATTGCCCATACTACAGTTGCAAGTGCGCCATAGATGAGGTAACCGAGAGATCTACAACCAAGGCCCTGGTGTGTGCCGCTAATCAGCAACAGACGCAGATAAGTTCACATCAAATAATGCTTACTACAGTTGGAGTTAGATACACAACTATTACCGCAGATCCAGTTGTTGCCCATTGCAAAGCTAGGGGCAGCAGCGAGGCCACGAACATGCGAAAGAACATCCCTGTCGCCCAGGGGCTCCGTACTGCGTATCGAGGAAGTTTGCAATAAGCATTGACTTCGGACGCGTTGCCCTTCCTGTTGCAGGCCTCAATAAAGTTCCTCTTATTTGAGTTCATCCATATAGCACCAATCATGACCGGTCTGTGTAATTTGGCATTGTTGGAGGCTATTCGAAAGGCATTGAAGACATCCTCCGCAGACCGAGACCATGAAATGGCCCTGGCATAGTTAAAGACGGGCGGAGTCAACATTTCGTCGTCAGGCGAAGGATTTTCAATATCAGTATCAATGGATACTGCTCGCCTTTCCGAAAGATCGGAAGCCTTTACAACAACTCCATGATCGGTGGCCACAAATGCCATTGCATCCGCGTTATCCATGGCCTTTCTAACGCGCGCATAATCGCACTTCGGGGACAGTTGCAGCCAACCTATGACGATTGGGATAAGCCACAACCACACCGATCCCGTCCCTTGACCGTTGGAGTTGATGTTGGAGGAGACGTCGGATAGTGAGCTGGCGACTGTCAGTAGGTAGGCGATAACGACCCACGCAATGGATGTGGCAGATGCGATGGACCAGGTATGAGTGTAGTCGAGAAAACCGGCAATGCTTGGCCACCATTCATCATTCTGTGGCAGGACGACGAGAGAACTCAGCAGCGAGTCTTCATTTGTTATTCTGAGTGGACTTTGTTGAAGGCTTATGAGGATACGGACGGCATCTTTAGTGTTAGGGAAGGATAGGTCTTCGAAACGACGACTAATCCAGTTGGCATTGAGAATGGTGAGAATCATCGAGTAGCCAGCGAGAACCGGTGATCCAACTGTGAGGATGGCAGACATGAGATTGTCAACTCTATGTCTTGCACCGAAAGGCAGCTGAGAAATGAGCGCAAGGTAAGGTAATAGCCAGGCGCCGAACTGTTGCGATATGTTTGACCAGGTGGGGTTCTGTGTTCCAGAGCCGCACTGCGAGAGACACGTCTGGTAGGTGAATCCAGCTGCGTTCATAATGTCCGACGACGAGACATTTCCGCCATTACCATTCACCAATCCAGATGGATCAAGGCTCTGGTTTGCATTCAATCTGAAATTGAGGAAGCAGCTGGTAATATCGATGTTGCTGGCGTATGCCCCTTCAAGAAATGGAAGCAGCAGCAAGAAAAGTCGGATCTCTGAGGGAATAGTGAGTATAAGTCACTACGGGCCATTGAACTCACTATTTGTATTGCGCATGAGCAAAGTTGACTTTTGTCAATAGGGTGAAGCGCACTTAAGAGTGTTTTTATGTCGATTTATCAGTTAGCCATTCAGAAGTGCCGAAGGAGGGGATAAGGCTGTGCTCTTGAGGATTTCCTCACCAAGAAGCTGTTCCAGGCTCTGCATACATATAGTTAGTTCAGCGCTTGTTCTAAAACGGTCCCACAGGAACTCGACGTTACTTGTTTCAGTGAAAACACTTGGAAGTTCCCAGTGTGAACGTAGCTGAGTCTCACACAGATAAGACGACTGTGAGTCTGAAGAATGAGCCCACTGACAACTTGAACCCAAACGTCTTTAAGTGCCTGTCGCATCACAAATCAGGAACTCACCTGACACAAACGATCACTGCCTTTGAGGAACAGATTGAGAAAACTGCGCAGAGGTTGTGGATCAGTGGCAGAAGCATTTTACTTGATAACCAACAGCGAGTGACAGGGATGCAAGACAGACCCAATTGCTAGCGAGCATTACCTTTAGAGCCCAGCTGCACAAAACGGGAGCGGGAGGAAGCACTGGCTTGCTGTGCAAGCAACAGAGGCGGTTTGTGCATCTTGCAAGGTCTGCAGATTGTCAGCTAGAGCGTTCCAATTATCTTTCCAATACGCTTTCTGAAGACTGAGGGTCAGTAGTGCGGCCGTAAGCATACCGTGACCATCTAATACTGTGTACTGTGAGCTGTAGGCAGACCAATATTTGAAAGAAAGTTGTCGACTGGTGAGTCAAAGCACTGGACGTAATTCTATATTCGGTTTCTGCTGTGGCGTGGCAGTGTTCGAAGATATCCAGCGGACGCGTTATCAGGAGGCGAGTCTGGGAATACTTTATGTGGTTACACTATCTGGAAAGAATTCGACAACATCAGTGTCATGTAGTCACGGTAGTAATGCAGTAATGGAAACAATTGGAACCATGCGGCTTTGCTGACGCGGGCTAATGTCGGACATAACAAGTCGTAATAGACTAAACTCACCGATACACCTGTCAGATGGACTTTGCATGGTCACTAGGCCGTCTCGCTGCTTATCAGAAAATGATAATGACTTTGACATACCGTGCCAGCGTGGTGTGATGCATGTGACAAACGAATTTGTCCTGCGCCGCGGCTCCGGTCGGACACAGCGTTTCAACGATGCCCAGGCGCCGGGGTCCGCGGCCGCGGCCGGTGAATGCCATTCGCTTGCAGTCCAGATGGGGATTCCGAGGCTCAATGGTACTTTGTATGCTAATTGCCAATTGATCTTCTAGAAGACCATCAGAATTGGACGTAACTCTAAGACAGGCAGGATCCGGGTGGCTGTACTTCGGAGCCCGCGCCTCTTTCGTAAGCATTAATGACACTTTTACTCACATTCAACGGCAGGACACTATGATCAATCAGTACCAGGTATCGTAAAGACTTCATTGATATTGTTGTTTTGGTAGCTCATTCTTCAATTACTAGTCACCTTTCATTGCTCATTATCATTCGCTGCTGCACAGCGCATTCAACCGAATTCTCATATTGCAACCCGTCATATCGCAAACCGTCCCTTTGAAAGTACTTGATGCTCGAATCATTAGCCTGAGGCTTTTCTTTCCGTGCCGTTTTCAGTGCTTTGAACAATATTGCCACACCTCATTTTGCCTTTGTGTGCTAACTGAGTACGTAGCATGATACAAGTCCAGGAGCAGACATTCTGAGACTTATATCTCCCCTTCAACCTTGGCAGGCCACCTCCGAACGCTGAAGACTGGTCATAACATTGTCTACTTTTTTACCACAGATTCTTCCCAGCGCTTGGTGCGATCATACCAGCGTCTATCATGTCGAACAGTCCTCGACAACACGTGTAGTATGATCTGAACCCTCAAAACGTTGCAACCTTCCCTCTCAGCTGAATTCTATCCACAGTCCCCATATCCCCACCCCGTCTTTCTCTCTCTTATTCCATCCACCACTCAGCCCATCCTCGATCCTCATCATTTTGCTCCATCATGCTATCATGCCTAGTTGCTCAGAAAGCCGATACATCAGACTTGAAGGCGAGTTCCTCCATATTACCTTCGTATCTATTTCATGATCCTCACACTCTATCTACACTGTACAGTTATCGACGCAAAAAATCTTTTAGTCCCTCCTGGCGTATTCCCGCTGGCATTTATGTGTCCATCAATGTCGACTCGGGGAGACGCTGGAAGTCAGCCATCAGTGTCCTATCATCCGATCAATCTGTAGCGTGGGGAAATACTGTGACCTTGTAAAGCTCATGGTGATCGACGCGATCCAAGAACTGATATTGAGTTTATAGATCATCACACGCCTCACCTGCATTGTCGGTCGAGATCAGAGCATCCTATGAGTTTATTCGAATGCTAGGCGGCGGAGAGGTCATCAGAAAACTTCAAATGCCATGGGATGAGCTACTCGATTGTGGAGATGAGCCATTTGGCGAGTGATTTGCTTCCTATTCATGCACATATACTCACTATCAATTAGACCTTCGCGCGGAAGTCACTTCCGCATACCTAACCTGTTTATAGGTCCTTGTTGTTATTTGAGTCGTACCTGAAGGTGGTCGGAACAGAACTTGTTTCAAGTTGGAGTCCCTGACCGCCACACCCCTCGTGTTGAGTTCTCCATTCCAGCAAGAGCGGTGATTAAAGACATCACGTTCTCCGCTTTTACACAAGCTTAATCCCTGCAATCAGAAACTGATCATTGCAATCGTTGTTGTCAAGAAGACCTTGATGCCGATATACTGTAGCAAGAATAAAGTGGTAATCATTGGGTGCCGGACCCAGAGAGAGCCTAAAATTAGCTACACGCTACAAGCACGTTGCGTCACATTAAACGCTGATACAAGAACAGAAATCATCTTGCTTGCCACATTAATTTCGTGCCTCTCCGAGGTACTAAACAAACAAAGACTAGTCAGTATATGCTGCGGATTGCATGAGGACACTTTCATCAAAGTTCCGCCCATTCAGGTATGAACCAACCTGCGAAAACGCATAAAAGATTCCAATGCAGGCGCACCTCTCAACTCAAACATGAAGCTTTCTCTTGTCCTCAGCGCACTCGCATATATCGTGGTTCTTGCCACAGCGTACCCTATGCAAGCAGCCATCGCGAAACGTGCCTGTGAGTATTCAAATCTTTCATCACCATGCAGAGGTGTGACTTGCTGCTAGGTGTTAAACGCGCTGACCTTTCACCAAACATGGAGAAACGCGAGGAACCCGAACCCTACTACAATGATTACAACGACAGCACGTACGGGCCCTGTGGTGGCTAGGCTCGTGGAGGAACTTGATGCCGATGAATTGAATACTGCCATTACCGGCGAACTTGACCACAGATTCTAACAGGTGAGTTATAGCCGTATGTCTTATTCTTTGTGCAAATCATTAATTGTACTAGGTCCCGCATCGTCGTAACCTTACCTTCCCTGTACATCTACATATCTACTGATCGCTTGTTTTCTGGATGCACGTGTACTATAATAGAATCCCTGTTGTTTTTACGCCCTCTTTTTGACTTAACTACAGACCTAGTGTTGTTGCCACCAAGGTATCATTTGATGACATTGCATGTTGCATTGTTCAGCTCGTTCTCAGTTCCCGTCTAAAATGAGAGAGATGGTATATCAATTGTAGCTTGCTCAGTGTCAATTGGTTCTCATCTGAAGACAAGTATATCTTTTGAATGGACCTAATAGGGGAGAGTGCATGTTCCTCGCATCCTCACGGTAGGGATGGGTGCGTGCTTGCTGCTAGATATAGTTGAAACTAGATCATCTCGACCAAAGAGTTGTAGCCATCGTTGGCGACGGGCTGCCAGATCGAGGTCGGGGAATTCGATGGCTGCAACAGAGAAAAGTTCGTGATACATGTAGGTTAGATAACTCGGATACGCACCAGCAGAGAACGGTTTGAGCAGTGCCTGCTGCTCGTCGTCGACACCAAGGGCCACAGACAGATACATCCGGGCGACTCGAATTCTCAAAGCATCACATGGATGCATTCCTGACAAGAAAATTGGTTATACTAGTACGGGATTAACAGTACAACAATGAAGAACATACTCGACTCTCTGGGCATTCGGAGTTCATGAAATACTGTGTGACGTGTCTTCAGAAGGAACATGATGTATGACTTGAGAGACAATACCTACATCTGCGTAGTCTACGACCACCAACGCATTCCCCTCAATCACGAGCTAAGCCAGCGTCAAAAAAGCATCAAGGTCTGCGGATGGTACTTACCAAAGCTAGTTTGGCGGCCCAAGGTTACACATCGGCAAGGTATGGGATGTCATTCACCCGAACGTCAAGCATCGGGCGCTTGAGCATGTTGCAGATCGCATGAGCAACCGTCTTTTGCCCGTTTCTAGGGCCCCTTTCAGCAGGATATTCTACAGATGATAAAGGTAAACGAGAATGATGCAGAAGCGTCGCTTCAAAACGTACCATGCCTTCCAGAACGTTTGCTGGCTGCGGACTGTCAAGTGAGCATCCAATAGTAAGTGACGTGGATTGCATGAGATCCTGCAACAAATGCATTAGTTTGCGAGACAACCACCCCAGTATTACTATCGCCCGTATCATAGCCTGTTTGTCCCTGACCAGTTTCCTCCACGTGTATTGATCGTAAGAAGGTTCATCGCAATTCATCCCTGGAATGTAATCCATTCCTGGACACCAAGGTTGGTTTGAAGATCAGTAGAAACGTGCAACATGCTTACGTGTTTTTTGATGTCGTATTCTGCAAACCAGGTCAAGCGGTTGACAGCAAGTACCTCCATGTTTTCCAAAGGCAGCTTTGGAAGGTGAGCTGCCAGGGGGGGAGGAAAGAACATACCTGATCGAGGTAGATGAGAAAGGTTTGATTTGGGTAGATGACAAAAGTTTGATGTCGATATTAGGGAATCTATGAAAGTCATACGAGAAACAGAAGACAAACGTAGAGCAGGGTTCATGCAGCAATAAGCTCGAGCATGAGTCAAGGAATGACATTATATTGTGAACCGATACAAGGACGGGATGTGGAAGTATATGATTGTCCTGTGGCGCGAGCCGCATGCGAAGTGGTAAAATACCGAATGTAGTGTCGTTCGTACGTACAAATCACATTCGGCAGGCTTCATATGAAAGTGGATGAGTGAATTCCAATGGCTCGAGTTTTGCATTTGATTCTGTGCTTTCACTGTGACCAGGTCTGTTGTGTTTTTACCTACAATCGTGCGTACCGGCTAGTCTCGCAATCAACTTGTTTGTGGTAGTATACGCCAGCCCGGCCACGAGCCTATGGGTCATATGTACATTTGAGTACATTTTAATATAAGGAAAGTTGAACGCACAAAGGATGTTCTATTGATGCATAGGAGATTCGGCTGGTGATGATGTCAATGGAATCACTAAGTTGAAACCATTTCCTTACCACCCAGGTGAACATCCCAACACCCGCTCTTCAAAACTCGAGTGACCGTATGATTGTAGGGCCCCAAGATTGTCTAGCACGAGGACCTTGGTCGGAACGCCTCGTTTGTGGATTGGCCCTCGGTACTGAAACGGGTGTAAGCACCGTGACGGATGCATCTAAACGTACCCGTGGACATCACAAGGTCATGGTCTCGTCCTACCCTAGTGAGATATTCGTGGGATGATAGGACTCCAATGGCTGATCTCAGCGTCTTCTCGAGTCGACACTGACGCCTAGGTAAATGGCAGCGGGCATGCACCAGGAGGGGACATTCATATTGTTGAGCCGATGATTCTATATCTGAGTCGAGCATAAGGATCACAAAACGGCTATGAAGGTAATATACAGTGACTCACCTTCAAGCCATCCGAGTCAGACATGGTGGTGCGATGGGGGAAAATGAGGAGGATCGAGGATGTGCTTGGTGGTAGGTGCAGTGAGGAGTGAGGAGTATTTAAAGACAGGTAGGAGAAGAAGTGGCTGATCTTCTCGCACTTGTATTTCCATGGCGTTTGTATGTCTGACACAATACATGTGTGATTATGCAAAGCGTTGGGATGTCCGACGATTGAATGTTAGCGGGAGAGCCTGTATATGCTTAACAATTGGGCAACGTCAAGGTCAGTCGTCAGTGAAAGCAGCACGCCAAGTTTAAAGGGAACATGCGCATCCTGCGAGGCTTGCTACTCCTGGAATTTTATCGTCGAGTCATACCATTCACTTATACACATAGTAATGCAAAATGTAAATTCCAGTGTATTTCGTGCTAGGACAATATGAACTGCTGAAAGGACGCGCAAAAAAGTGAAAACATCCACGAGGGTTTGCGAGAGGGGATAGCAGAGTGTAACGGACGATATTAGGAGTGACAAAGAACAAGATTGAGACCTGGAACAACAGTTAGAATGAGCAAAGACTTAAGCTTAAAGTCGCTACACACCTACTATACACACGCTGCAAATGTGGTCAGCAAAGTGGTTTTGTTACGCAACACCAACCCAAACACCCTTGGACAAGATTCAGAACGCGAACAAAAAAAAGACACGCCAAAAGTGCGCCTAGGTTGCTTTGAAATTCCAAGAGGTACAGCGTCCAGGAGCCATGAAGTATTTCAAAACGTTCAGTTGATGTCGGTGGCAGTTGCGTCACGTAAGCGACACTGAAATAGAAATTTGAATTGGCATAAAGGTGGCCGCCTGCACCACCTCAGTCAATGTTGAGTCGATGCATTCCACCTTCATATATATATTCGGTGATTCGCTGTACCCAGCTGTACCCCTAGATGTTCCCATCACCTTCAAGACTTCCCTACATGATATACTGGCCTCTTCGCCCGGTACCAATGATATAGTCCCACAGTGCTTGGTTTGATGTCCGTGGGGAATCCAGCAGCGGTCACAGCTTCTTGAACATTAATGCGTCAATCGTCCTTCACCGAATAAGCATACAGTAGGTTTCATCCCCGCTTTTCAAGTGGACATTCTTTTCTCATCCCTCTATCCAGCCAAGATCATCCTCCCTTCATTATCAGCTCAATTGGACGACTTATATAGAATCATTTGGTTCTTAGCGTGTCGTCTTCAGTGGTTTTAACATTGTTCGCATTACCATACGAAATACACTCAATTCTACATCTTGCCTTGGTGTGCTGACTGAGTAGTACGATCCAAGTCCAATCACCCTGAGACTCGCCCCCTTCGAACTCGGCTGGCCACGTTCGCTGAGGTCTGGTCGCGACATTGTCTACTTTACATTCTTCCGCTAATCCTGGTCGGTGATCTCTATTCTCAGCGCTTAGTCTAATCACACCAGCGTCTATATCGTGCCGAACAGCCCTTAACAATATGGACATACACGTGTAGCATGAACAGAACGCTCAACCTCTTTTTTCTCTTAGCCGAACACCATCCACAGTCTGACTCATTCCATCCACCCTCCGCCTTCTCCTAGCGCTCATTCTGAACCTATCTCAATTTCAGATGCTGCGTGTCGTTCGTCGTTTGTTTCGCCCTACAATCAAACGTAGTGGCCTAAAAGAACGATATGTCAGACTTGAAGGCGAGTCCCTCTACATTACCTTCGTATCTGTTACATCATCCTCACACTCGACCTACAGTTATCAGTGGAAATAATATTCAAGTCCCTTCCTGGCGCATTCCTGCTGGCATCTACATATCCGTCAATGTCGACTCCCGGAGGCGCTGGAAATCACCCATCAGTGTCTTATCATTTGGTACATCTGTAACGTGGGGGAATTCTGTTACTCTGTAAAGTTCATGGATACTTTCTGACGCTATGCAAGAACTGATCGTTGGTTTATAGATTATCACATGCCTCACGTGCGTTGTCAGTGGAGATCAGAGCGTCTTATGAGCTTGGTCGAATGCTAGGCGGTGGAGAGGTCGTTGGAACACTTCGAATGTCATGGGATGAGCTACTCGATCATGGAGATGAGCCATTCGGTGAGTGATTCGCTTCTCACTCATGCACATACGCCAACGTCCTGTAGATTTATTGTTCCCACCCGTGCGCGGTGTCCACCCTTCCCTTAAGCTGAAGGCCGCCATTGTTCATGCTTGCGATGATCAGGACGACGCACTGATTGATGTGAGAAATGCTGGTTTCTGTCTTGTTAGCTTTGCTGACAGAACGCAAACTGCAGTCCCTCGCAGACTGCGAGATTGCTCGAGACACAGATGCAGGCCACGCACAATTTGCCGCATACGTGACGAGCAAGACAGTCTCTCGCCTGAAACGTGCTGTGAAGCATTTTCAGTTAGTTCTAGACCGGTGTCCGGTCAGCCATCCAGACCATGCCACGGCTCTCACCAACCTCGCGTGGGCCCGCCTCAAAGGCTACATCCGAAATGATCTTGAAGACATCGATGCCACCACTTCCCTCTTCCGCGAGGCCCTTGCATTGCGTCCGCAGCCCCATCCCGATTTTCCCTTATCTTTATACAATCTCACCGAAGCGCTGAATTGGCGGCACGACAAGAAAAGTACTGCTGCCGACATCCGGGAAGCCACCCAACTCTATCATGAACTACTACCTCACTGTCCAGAGGCCACCTACCTTCGTAGCATCGTGGCAGGAGAAAATGGTGTTGATTATGTGATCGACGAATGCAACAATCTTCCAACAGACGCATCTGATGAAGGCATCCACCTTCGAAGAGTCGTCCTCGAGCTCTGTCCTCTGGGCCATCAACTCCGTCCAGACACACTTGACACACTTTCACGTGCTCTCCGATCACGGTTTACAATGCGGCCACATCGATGATTTAGATGAAGGCATACAATTTAAACGTGAAGCCGTGTCTCTGTACCCCGAGGGACATGCTGTCCGTGACAACTACCTGAACGACTTGGCCGGTTTACTCATGTACCGCTTCAATCACCAAGGTAAACCTGATGACCTCGATGAGGCCATCTCTTTGCTCGAAGAATTGCTGCGCGTGCGCCCTGTTGGGCACAAATTCCGTGATGACTCATTGGTGAGCCTAGGCAACGCCCTCCGCCTCCGTTTCCACAAACACGGCGACATTGATGACATCACCCGAGCTATCGGCCTCTGTCGCGAGGCACTGACGTTGCGCCCACCTGGGCATTTACTTCATGCCTCCGCGCTTGACAACCTTGCCTCCGCGCTCCATGCCAGACATGACAAATCGCATGTTAGCGATGATCGTGACGAGGCCATTGACTTGTATCGCGAATCCCTTCGGTCAAGGCAGCCTGACAATCCAGATCGCCATCTGACTCTTTCGAATCTGAGCGTGGAACTCTACTCTCGTTTCCTGCAAACTCGGTAGAATGAAGATATCGAGGAGGCCCTTACCTACTCTTTGTCAAGAATCATTTGCGGTTCTGTCTCCACTGCACCCGGCCATATTTTCAGCTACGTGCGGCTGCAGGAGGTCCTATTTGTCTCGTTAACCAGATTCTACACGACCCATGCTGAATCTTGTTGCTTCGCTATAGAGGAACTTCAGACTTGTCATCAAGACATCCTACTGAAGGATTTCCTCGTCGTATCATGGAGCTATTGATTGGGCTTGCCAAGCAGAAATCTGTTGAAACAATGAATCTGCCCTAGAAGCATCCAAATGTGCTTTGAGCTTTCGACAACCATGTGACTGACACGATCATCAATCATCTCACGGCGTCGAGGCTGCAGCCGCTTTCGTGGTGGCACGATCACTTCCTGTAGATGCCGCCTCATGTGCCATACGTTGTAACAATCTACGACAATCAGTTGAACTTGTGGACAGGGCCGTGGCCAGCAGTGGTCGCTGGCATCTCGACTCAGGACTCCAGTCGAAGACCTCGAGACAGCAAAACCGACACTGGCGCGCAATTATTTGGAGCTGAGCAAGCGCATTTCCAATGCTGCCCAGGGTTCTGCAAACATCACCGACAGAGCTGCTGCTGATCAGGAAGTAACAGAGTATAGGAGACTTACAAGGCAATGGGATGCAGCAGTAGCTGAGATACGTGATATTCCAGCGTTCTCGCGCTTCCTGCTCCCACCTTGGTATGAAGACCTCCAAGTGGCAGCGCGCCAGGGCCCGGTCATTATCCTCATTGCCAGTCAATACTCATGCAGCGCCATCATTGTCCCGACGTCAGGAGATCCCCATCATGTTCCTTTGCCGTCCATCGCTCTCGCAGATCTAAAGATTCTCAAGGATCGCTTCGCCAGGGCAATACGAGAAGCATCTCGGATGAGCCCAAGGGAATCGAGGACGGATCTGATAGTGCTCTCGCGAATAATATGGGACCAGATCATGCTACCCATCGTCAACGTGCTCGAGCACGCCCTCAAACTACAGTGCCGCTCTCGAATCTGGTTGTGTCCCACTGCAGCTTTCACGTCCATTCCTCTCCATGCAGCTCACCCGTTTCAAACAAAGGCGGATCGTTCTGGGAAGGAGCCATGCCTGGAGGACCTCTACATTTGTTCTTACACGCCAACACTTTCTGCTCTGATCAGATCTAGACAGTTAATGAAGAAGCGCGTGCTTCCGTCCTTTGTGGCGATCGGACAAGGTCAACCGGGTGCAGGGAAGGGCAAGGCTCTCTTGGCTGTTGACAGCGAGCTTGAGCTTGTCCATAAACTCGTCCCTGCGACTGCCAACCACACCAGTATTTCTGGCGACGAAGCCACACGAGCAGGTGCACTCTCAGCTTTGCAGCAGAACACCTGGGTGCACCTTGCTTGTCATGGGAAGCAGGACCCTAAGCAGCCTTACGATTCACATTTTGTCATGAGAGACGAAACATCTGACGCTGCTCAATATCATGGAGAGACATCTTCCGCAGGCCGAGTTCGCGTTCTTATCGGCTTGTCATACCGCCGTCGGCGACGAGGAGACACCCGACGAAGTGATTCACCTCGCAGCTGGTCTTCAGTTTTCGGGGTTCAAGAGTGTCGTTGGCACGTTGTGGGAGGTCGACGACTCTGTCGCAAAACACGTCGTCGAAGCTTTCTACAGGTACATGTTCAGAGATTTGAAGGATGGTGGTGTCATGGACTGTACGAAGGCGGCCTGGGCGCTCAACTGTGCTATGCACTCGGTGAAGATGAAAGTACCGCTCGAGCAGAGGATGGTTTTTGTTCATATTGGTGTGTAATTCTATGTCGGATTGCCGTCGTCTAGTACATATTCACGTGTTGTTGATCTGTGATTCTCTTTCATCCTGTAGTACAAATGACCCTGATATATATTCTTGCGCTCTAGCTATCTTGTTTTCGTATACTCTGTTGTTTTTTGTCGACTAGAATGTTCACCAAAGTTCTTATGTGCTCGACTCGTCTGAAGCCTCGTCTTTTGCTCAATTGAGTACTTAGGTAGTATAGTAGGGGCCGACTCGCGCTTTCTAGTTATATAAGGAATCCTTCAAGTTTCAAGCTTTCTGCACTATGAACCCACATACTTCAGTCATAGCCCTATGTAGAAGTGGTGCCCCGGATGTGCCAAATGGCCCTAGAATGGGTACCAGCCTGCACCGGCCTATACATGCACATTGGTGCCGGCCAAGGGTGTTAAGGTGGTACTGGCCAACCACTGAAGTGGGGCTGCCTATACGTGAAGGCTGACCACAGGTGTAGGGGTGGTACTGGCCGACCACTACATATACATGTACATTGGTGCTGACCACAGGTGTGGGAGTGGTACTGGCCGACCACTGCCTACACATGTATATTGGTGCTGGCCAGAGGTGTGGGAGTAGTACTGGCCGACCACTGCCTACACATGTATATTGGTGCTGGCCAGAGGTGTGGGACTGGTACTGGCCGACCACTGCCTACACATGTATATTGGTGCTGGCCAGAGGTGTGAATGTGGTACTGGCCGACCACTGCATATACATGTACATTGGTGCTAACCACAGGTGTGGGAGTAGTACTAGCTGACCACAGCCCATAGATGTACATTGGTGCTGGCCAGAGGTGTGGGAGTGGTACCGGCCGACCACTGCCTACACATGTATATTGGTGCTGGCCAGAGGTGTGAATGTGGTACTGGCCGACCACTGCATATCCATGTACATTGGTGCTGACCACAGGTGTGGGAGTGGTACTGGCCGACCACTGCCTACACATGTATATTGGTGCTGGCCAGAGGTGTGGGACTGGTACTGGCCGACCATTCAAGTGAGGCTCCCTATACACACACATCAGTATCAGCCAACACCTTAGGACATGGAAAATAGAGTTGGCCTGACTAAGTCCAAGTCATGTAGAGGCAGGCAGTTCAACAACTTAAGGCATCAGAAAAACTTAACATTGTTGAAGAACCTTATGGTACTTGGCCAAGTCTTTCCAAGACTTGCACTAACACACTCAAGTCCAGCAAGATATTTGACTTATACCAGTTTGTCAGTATCAGTAGAAAGGCTAAGTATACAAATATATTTAAGTTTTTCATGTCCTATGTGGTCTGGAGCATCATGGTCAAACACAAGTATCTAAAACAATTCAGGAATGATAAGGAAAGTGTAGGTTTCCTGATGGCATTGATAATAGAGTCAGGCCGGATCAGGTCCAGGCTGTGTATGGCCTGGCCTGGCCGACACCTCAGATATTGATAATAGAGTCGGCCGGATCAAGTCCAGGCTGTGTATGGCCTGGCCGGCCGACACCTCAGGCAGTGATAATAGAGTCGGCCGGATCAGGTCCAGGCTGTGTACAGGAAGGCAGGCCGACATCTCAGACGTGGACAATAGAGTCGGCCGGATCAGAACTAGGTCATGTATGGCCTGGCCGGCCGACACCTCAGACAGTGATAATAGAGTCGGCTGTATCAGGTCCAAGCTGTGTACAGGAAGGCAGGCCGACACCTCAGACGTGGACAAGAGAGTTGGCCGGATCAGAACTAGGTCATGTATGGCCTGGCCGGCCGACACCTCAGACAGTGATAATAGAGTCGGCCAGATCAGGTCCAGGCTGTGTACAGGAAGGCCGGCCGACCCCTTAGACATTGACAATAGAGTCGGCCGGATCATGACCAGGTCGTGTATGGCCAGGCCGGCCGACACCTCAGACAGTGATAATAGAGTCGGCCGGATCACGTCCAGGCTTTATACAGGAAGGCAGGCTAATACCTTAGGTATATATTGAACATAGACTTCTGCATATCTAATTGATGGGATTTTTGATAGACACAAACCTAGTATTATCAAGAAAGATGTTGGTTTTAGTACTATCCCTTTAGAGCTAGTTCATTCAAATTGCAATATCTGCAAGTATAAATGGGCCAGCTCTACAGTATGATGTAGGCAGGGTTCCTGACCATCATAACAATCATATTTTGGCTAGATAAGTCTTTGATATTATAATAGCCAAGACTGTTAAGTGACTACAATCAACTTGTCTTTGAATGAATTTTCAGCATCCAATGCAAATCTTCCCCACAAGAGCACCTGTCGATGTGCATAAGCTTGATGACCAGGCTTTGTAGCTTGTTGGTATCTTTGGTCCCATTCTCCCATCCTGTATTTAAACCAACTCACTGTCCAACCCATTTCGTGTTGGACCAATCTCAACTCTTCCTCCCACCTTTGCCATCTAGCCTTAGCTTTCAACCAATTTACCCTGTAGACTAATACAGGTCACTTGCAGAACATAGACATATTAGATATGACTTACATTCATCCATCCACACATCTTCCTTCAAATCATGACCGTTGTTGACTCTCCAAAACCAAGCCAGTCTGTCTGATCCCTGCCCATATCTGTTCTCTTCAGTCACTTCCTTGTCAACACTGAGCTGGTGTAGCTGAATGTCTTGATAGATCGTCGTCAGAGTATCTTCATCAGCCCCTAGTCTCTGAATTGAACTCCTAGCCCTTTGATACCTTCGGACACACTTCTCTATCTTGATACGGCATTGAAGAGCCTCCTGCTTTGACCTGGTTCCTGTCCATGTGGAATCTGCACTTCGGAAATGCTGACGGTAAATTATTGCTTTATGACCGAGAGCTTGTCGCAACTTTTCCAAGCAATCATTTGCTTGACCCTTTCGTAACTCCAGTTCTTCAGCTTGCAGAGTGTGCAAGCCCAGGGCTAAAGCCTCATTTCGAGGCACTGAAGATGGCATCCAAATGGCCATGACTTCTGCAGGAACTGCCTCATCCATCTCTTCCAACACATCTTCAATATCTGCAGCCTCCCATACTTCCTCCACCGCATCTGAAGGTGCAAAATCTAATGTCATCCACATGCTCAGTACCTGCATGGACTTCAATGCCCTCTGTCATAGCATCAGCAATTTCATGAAATTTAGAAATCCGAGCAGCCAGTTTTTGTCGTTTCTCTTGAAGTGCAGCCCTTTGAACAGCAGAAGCATCTTTGGGAAGCTGCCGAATAGCTACCCTCAGTGCATCCCTAGATATGAATTAGAAATACGTTATCACCATCAATATATGATGAAACAACATACTGCGAATCCTCTATATTGATGCCATCAATGAGCCAAGAAATTGATCCCAACTTTCCTGTATCAGCACGTTCTGATTCTGTTAATTTTAGCCGCATTTCTGCCATTGTTGGTGCTTCCAATCACCCAATCAGAATGTACGACACATGGACCTGAATAGAAGCTTCGAAGTGCTCACCTTTATCTATTTTTAGCTGGTAGATGTCAAGATGTTCTCCACGCTCATCCTTTGCCTTCTCCTCATCTTTTTCCCATGCCCTCACTTTGATGACATCCAAAGATCCGGTAAGCTCTTCAAACGGCAGCCTAGTGTCTTCAATGCCCTTGTTGGCCCGTTTGTACTTTCTCAAGAGCGTCTTAACTGCATCACTGTGAAACTGTGATGTCATTCATTCCAAATATAGGCACTTACCTATTCTGACAAGTTTTCTCCAATTTGAGTTACGCATGTGATCATCAAGAATTTCTTGACGGTGAGCTTGGCTCATAGAACGTGCTGTGGGAGATATCTTGTTAAAGGGAGCCCAAAGTGTCTCCAGAATTTCCCCATCAACTTGTCCAGCTCCTTGAATGAAGTTTAAGCTGTATCTAGCAAAACAGGCAAGTTTATGAGCGCTCAAGTGAAATTTCCCCACCGCAGCTACAATCTTGGTGTTGTCTGGGAGTGCCAAGCCAGGGCAGTTGGCAACACGTTGACCAAAGTTAAGGTTCCACTGACACCCCACATCATAGATGATCAGGGAGTTGTCAATGTTGCCAGCAGCGTGCTTTATGGCATTACAAATGGAATAATCTATATTCATGTGGCTGGAAGTGATTTTGTCAGCATGTCAAGCACAATGCTTGTCTTAGCCTAGATTGAGTAAATGAAAGAAAACTTGCCGTTCACCCTTCTGAAAGTCCACTATGCAGTGAGGAACAAAACAACCATGCCGAGCACAAGCAGTGGCACCAACCCCTGTAGCCCTGAGGTTGCTTCTGTTTGTGTTTGCTGCATTGACTGCCCGATGGTTGCTACACAAGGATCGCTTTCCACAGGTTTAGCCACCACTGACAATACAACACAATTTGAGTCACCTCTTTACTCTCTATAGCCGAAGTCAAGTGTGCTTGGTATTCTCTGTCTGTTACCATATAACCTAAACCATCTGACAGGAAGACGTCAAGCTCAGGCTGTCGCATGTTCATATGCTGAGCAGTAAAATTTCCATCTACCACCAATCTTTTCATAACAAGCCACCTGCAATCAAAAGTCAGCATCCGCATATAAGTCAGCTAGTTATATGAGTGATAGCTGAGTCCTGGCCGGTACCTCTGGTACACAGCTCAGAGCCAGTGCCAGCCGACCATTTGTGTAGACTGGCCGGTACCTCTGGTACACAGCTCAGAGTCGGTGCCGGCCGACTATTTGTGTATACTGGCCAGGACACATATTATCGGCCAGGACCACTGCTGTGCTACGCACTGCTGGTACTGGCCGGAGTCTAGCAGGCAGGGATTTTGGAATTGACTTGCCTTTCATACTGTTGCTCCCAAACAAGAGGCATATTGATTCCGGGCTGTGGACATGAAGGGCAAAATAGGGCAAGATCTCCTGCACTAGGGGGCGCTTCCTTGTCATGGCCAAATCCAAACCATTTACGGTTCTTCAAGTCCCGCCAGAGTCGAGATACTCTCATGAGTTCTCGATAGCGATCCTACAGATGGGGTTTTGCATTCAGTATGAGCTAGAATTATGGTATTATCAGTTCCACTCACTGGGACAGTGTCCGGGAAAGCATTATTTGTCAGCCGTCTGATTTTCTCAAAGAAGCTCATTGCTGAAGTCTTGCATTCCAAGGCATCAATGAGAAAATGATCCAGTACCTCGAAGGTGAAAGCAGTCCTAGGGCGTGTGGTACTGGCAGGAAATAGTCCTGCTTGGAGCAGCTGCAGGTGATGTTCATGATGTGATCCTGGACATTGACACCATGACACATTGTGTGTGAACACCCCAGAAGAATGTACAATAATCACAGGAGCATCTTGATCAACGTGACTTTGTGCAACTCCATAGAAAGGGCAAGACTTTCCACCGTGGCCCATGTACCATATAAATCCTTGGTCAGCAAGAGTGTCGTCCTCGAAGCACTTGCCGTTCCACAATTGGATTTTGTGGAAAGGCAATGACTGATGTGATTTGAGGAGGCAAGGCTGACACCAGCTGTGGTCGCCAGTGCAAGTTGTGCAATGGAAGGCAGCATCTTCACATTGGCAAGTCTCACAGATCCCTGTGGCAAATTTCTCTGAGTCCAAGATGACATCTAGATATGTGTCTCGGTGGGTGAGATACTCTGCTATGAAGTCATTTTGTGTCTATGTCATTTATGAGAAACAATTACTAGTAAGCCACGGCCTGTTAGATATACCTTTGTTTTTCTCCCTTGCTCAGGAGCCTCTCCGTCAATAGCAAAGTCACCAAACATTTCTTGGTTTAAATCATCTTCTGGGATGTCTGGTGATTCTGCATCTACTGCTCTGGCTCGTTTCCTTGGGCTGGTGGTATGCTCTGGCAAAGTTTCATACAGCGCATCAGCACAAGACTCAACCCAAGAGGGCTTTCCCTTTCTGTCTCTTGTAGGTTGGTGAGTAACATAATCAACATCCAAATCCTTTTTTTGTGATAACTTTCCTCTATCTTGGAAAGAATAAGAAATAGCCTTGAGACGCTGGCGTTTTTTTGAGGACATAGTGCTTAGACCGAGGAAAGATTCTGCCGTATGAGAAGTCAACCAATTTAATATCACAAGCTTTGTCTAATCTGGACATCTACTATTGGGAAATTACTCCCCTTCTCATTCTCTTATTTGATCTCTGAATGGCTTTTAGACCCCCCTTCTTACCTGCCCCCACTCTATTCAGAAAATCCCTGCTGGTCCGGATACTTTGGTCTCGGTACACCAAGCCTATCGTGTACTTTATCCTTGACAAAGTGGGCAATTACAATTCTCTCCCCATCGCCCCACTTCGGCACCCCATGCTCCAGCACCTTTCCTAAAATGTAAACCATAGTGCCAGGGGGATATGCTAGCTCGGCACCCAGATCTGGCAGAGCTAGTATGGCATGGTGAGCTTTGCCAAGGCTCACCAAAAGGTCATAAAATGAAGGCGACGCTCCAGGGTCTCGATGACTTGGGGTCTCTCGATTGACGATAACTTCCAATCCAGAAAACTCTGAGGGCCAGACAATGGGATCCGAAGTACGAACCATATCCTTCATATTAGCAACTGATTCCACGCCGGCCTGATATTGATCTGGCGCAATAACACTGGTGATAGCGGACCACAAATGTTCAGCTACCGTTATTTCGGACAACCACTCTCGGACCGCAGGTAAAGAAAGAGTGCCTGATTGGTACAAGTCATCCTGAAGCCGCTAGCCCATTTAAGTTAGTTCCGTATCACAGCAAGTATATTAATATGAAGTTACCTCATGACGTTGCATGAATCCTCCGGGGCATAAGGTCACCCTTCCTACTCCAAACTCTCCCCCACCTGAAGGCATGACAAATCCTTGAGAACGCCAAGGCTGCTTTGCCTTCTGAGTTGGCTTGGGCAAAGACTGATCTAAGGCAGGTCTCAGCAATTTGATGGACTGGTTGACACGATCCTAATTATAACTGATTAAAAGAACTTAAACTGTATTAATCAGACTCGTACCATTCTATCAGGCACCATGATTTCTGGCAAATACCAAGCGAGAATCCTTCCGTGCCTGTCAACAAATGTTGCCGGCTCTGATATTAAACCGAATGAAGGACAGTGGAAATATTTTGCTAGCTTATGTCTCTGGCTGTCAGCATGCGATGGGTGGGATGCCTTGGCACTATCTGCAAACCGATCTACATCTAAATCTGCCCGCACTATGGCAACAAAATGAATGACAGACCCCCCAACCATCAAATCAACACTCACGGGGATTAACTACAGCATGGGCTATCACGACCGCAGCTCTGGTAAGTTCAATCTCCGTAATGACATTTGCCGTGACATCGCTACCAGTACTGGACAGTAAGTCCTGCCACTTGGCCCACAATCTGGTCCTAAAATTCCAGCTGTTCAGTTTTGCCAGACAGTGACATGAGACTCCCTTACCTGGCTCTTTAAAGCAAATTGTCATTGATTTTGTCACCTATCAGCAACTCATACGGCGATGAATCATGGAGTAGGTCATCTACATGCCCACGGAGGATCTTGGACAGAATTGTTACAGCAGGATCTGCCATTTTTCAGTGGTTGAAGTTTGGAAAAACAGACATTAAACGACGGAATGATAAATTTTTCAACCACAGACGATCTAGACTATAAATGGTTTTTAATTTAAGTCGCGATGTGGATCAAAAGACTTTGAAAGATCCAAATTGGGATAGCTTCTAAATTTGGGTGAAATTCAACGCCTACACTGTGAGGCTGTCGGACAGAATACACCAAGATCCCCCATTTCTTGGTGGTTGGAGTATTGAGAACAGAATTGAAATAGCAGAATGGGAAAATTTCTAACCAGGTGGTGTAGACTATATATGGTTTTTAAGGTTTTTGATTTACAACGTGCGATGCGGAGCAAAAGTGGAAGATCCAGATCAGGATAACTTCTAAACTGGACGGGGCCATACTATATGATTTGCGGCAACATACCATCCAAGCAGAGGCCTGTATTATGAAAGAAACAGATGAGAAACAGCAGTCTCAACTTAAGTTACATCTTGTCTTTTAAATTCAAGCTTTATGCTGACGGCAAGTAATAAACCAGTATGCTGCTCTGATTGTCTTCTAACTGAATATCAAATCTTCAGCTTCGGCTGGATTCAGTTAGAAGACAATCAGAGTAAGGCATGTCCTTCTCCTCAGCTCAGGTGAAATACCTGAGATACATCCCTTACTCTGATTGTCTTCTAACTGAATCCAGCCGCAGCTGAAGATTTGATATTCAGTTAGAAGACAATCAGAGTAAGGGGTGAGGCGCAATTGCTACTTGCCAAAAGCCTCATCCCTTGCTCCGATTGCCTTCTAACTGAATCCAGCCTACATGCAGCTGGTATCTCAGGTATTTCACCTGAGTTGAGGAGAAGAGCAATCGTGTCTCACCCCTTACTCCGATTGTCTGAATACCAAATCTTCAGCTGCGGCTGGATTCAGTTAAAAGAAAGACAATCAGAGTCAGGGATGAGACGCAATTGCTCTTCTCCTCAGCTCAAGTGAAATACCTGAGATACCAGCTGCATGTAGGCTGGATTCAGTTAGAAGGCAATCAGAGAAAGGGATGAGGCTTTTGGCAAGTAGCAATTGCGCCTCACCCCTTACTCTGATTGTCTTCTAACTGAATATCAAATCTTCAGCTGCGGCTGGATTCAGTTAGAAGACAATCAGAGTAAGGGATGTATCTCAGGTATTTCACCTAAGCTGAAAAGAAGAGCAATTGCGCCTCACCCCTTACTCTGATTGTCTTCTAACTGAATATCAAATCTTCAGCTGAGACTGGATTCAGTTAGAAGACAATCAGAGTAACGGATGAGGCTTTGGCAAGGCCCATAGCATGTATCTCAGGTATTTCACTTGAGTTGAGGAGAAGAGCAATTGCATCTCACCTCTTACTCTGATTGTCTGCTAACTGAATCCAGCTGCAGCTGCATCTATTCTGTCATGTTCAAGACTAAAGGCGAGCGCACTGAGGGTACTCTCAAGCTCACCCCTATTTCAACAATATGCCGCGGTGAAAATTGGTGGACATTCTAAGTTACTGCATTCGGGGGTCACGTGACTTTTTCGCACGAACAAGGAACCTGGCATCACGATTTCGTTGCAAATTAAAAAAACTAAGTTATATTTGGCATCATTGAATTGAAGAAAAAATAACAGAGCGCAAAAATCAATACAAGGCTGCCGCAGAGGGGCCCTCTCTGCGACAGTCTAGTACTGTCATAATACAGTAATAAAAAGTATGATAAAAAAAGGAATAGCTAACTATATAACATAATCTGCGAATGACGCAATCAGTATTTGCAAAGAGAATATCAAACAGGTTACCTTTGAGTATCGGAGCAAGCCAAAAGAAACATATCTGTAAGCTGCGGTCATTGTTTTGAGAAGAGAGAGCGATGGGAAGTACCTTATGGTGGAGCAGGTGTCATCCTTCCGGAGAAAATACAATACAAGAATGATGGGAGGAGGCGCACCAATGTGGACACTTAAACCTCCCAAGCGCAATGATGGTTGAAGGAGGGGCGCACCAATGTGGACACTAAATCCTCCCCAAGCCAAGCCCCCAGTACTCAATGGTAAACAAAGGGAGGAGAAGTGCGCCAATGTGCACATAGATCTCCTCCCCAAGCCAAGCCCCCAGTACTCAATGGTAAACAAAGGGAGGAGAAGTGCGCCAATGCGCACATAGATCTCCTCCCCAAGCCAACCCCCAGTACTCAATGGTAAACAAAGGGAGGAGAAGTGCGCCAATGCGCACATAGATCTCCTCCCCAAGCCAAGCCCCCAGTACTCAATGATAAAAGAAGGGAGAAGTGTGCCAATGCACACATAGATCTCCCCAGTATATATAGATTGACTAGAAAGAAGGCGTTTAGTGAAGAGATTGTTGAAAAAAAAGACAGACCTTATATGTGGAGGCGCCCCAATAGCCTCCCCAGTGAATGGAAATTGACTAGAAAGAAGGCGTTTAGTGAAGAGACAGTTTAAAAAAAAGGATAGACCTTATATGTGGAGGCGCCCCAATAGCCTCCCCAGTGAATATAAATTGACTAGAAAGAAGGTGTTTAGTGAAGAGACGGTTGAACAAAAACAGACCTTGGATCTGCAGGCGCACCAATAGCCTCCTCAGTGAATAGAAATTGGCTAGAAAGAAGGCATTCAGTGAAGAGATGGTTGAAAAGAGGCATACCTTAGGTATCCTTTCACCGGATGAACCAAAGAAGATCAACCTATGCACCCAAATTAGAAATAGAATTGGAATTAAGAGACACATACCGCGTGGTAGAGAATGAGCGCTCAGTGAGTTGTGAGCCACTTACACAGCTGCAGTCTGTGTAGGTGGCTAACAAGGTGAGCGGATGGAAGAGATGTGGTTTGAAATTGAACCATGTGAAATTGTTGTGCCTGGCTATATGTTACAACATATTTGATGTTGTTTGTCGTGGAAAATGCCGGCGTGACACGATCACATGACTGGTTGGTTTGAAAATTCGCAAAGTCCTTTGCACTGCATTGTTTGGCATGGAAAATGCCGGCGCAACCATGGACACAATCACATGACTGGTTGATTTGAAAATTCTCAAAGTCCTTTGCGCTGCAGTTGTCTTTATGCCACCTAGAAAGAAGAACACAGCAAAGAAGTCCTGTGGCGGTTCTGCCAAGAAACTTTTGGCACCTGTCGGCTCTCCTCCGGTGCCCGCTGCGTCACACGCCGAATCGTCCACGTCATCCTTGGAGCCGGAAGACACTAGGACAACTGAAGATCACAGTATAGTAAGTTTTTTTGCCTACTTCAAGTGTTTCATTGACTGACTGCGGGTCAGTGGTGTTTGATTTGTCGCGATGGCGCGGAAGGTGACGTTGTACTTTTTGAATGCAACGCGTGCCCCCGCGTCATGTGCAGCAAATGCATTGAGGTGCCCAAGGCCCATATCGATGACGTCCGACATACGGATGTAATATTTTTATGTCTTTCTTGTCACTCGTTGCGGACGATCAAGGAGCCCACGCCATATTTTGTGAGTCTTTCTTTATTATTCAAATTTTAAATTGATTGACTGTTCAGGGCTTCTATCATAACATTTTGCCAGAGCAAGGAGGAACGCCTGTACTCCCAGGCTTCCTGCAGCTCAAGGGCAAGTACGAGCTGGCGTCTAGCTCCATCTTGGCAGCCACACCCCTTGCCGTCGTCCATTTTATCCTTGGTGGCAAGGACAGAATCCCGACACCCGTTCCACTCCTCTCCCATTACCTCGACAAGTTCTACCCCAGTGGCGGGTTTCTGTACATCGAGATCTTGTTCGACGTTGCTTCATATCAGCAGATCGACAACTACACCCGCGACCAGGTCCGAACGGTTTCTGAGCTCACCAGTCACCTTGGTTCCACCGGTCGCATCTTTGCGTTTCTCTCCAACCATTCGGAAGAAGACAGTGGGTGGCTCTTTGCAGGGAAAGAGGGTCAAGGTGAGGGAGAGTATGTTGCGATGGAAGTTCAGCATGTAAGTCTAAAATTTTGGACGTTTTAACGTTATGAATTAATGTATCCTAGGTTCTCTCTACAGTGTTAAAGCCCTATGCTAGGATCCTCAAGTCCTCCCACATCGTCTTCCTGGTCTGCGGCTCTGTGGTGGCGCACGAGACACCCTACACTCAGCTCAAGGAGGCCATTCTTCAATTCGACTTCGTGGGCACAATCATCTTTCCCGCACCTCGCTTTCAACCTCTTGTCGCCATGAATTTTTTGGTCGCCATGATGGAACTTGTCGCGATTGAGCAACTCAGCATCCGCAGCGTGTTTCCCACTATGCGGCTCTACCAAGAGCTGGGCCGAGAGGGTCGCTGTGACGGTTGCTGATAAGAGTCGCGACGAGGACGCCCCAGACCGTGTCTCTGTTTGCCGGTACATCTACACATGCAAGTACACCAACTGTGGTAGCATGCAAAAGTTGCCTCCCTACAAGTTGTCCGTCACCAAGCCTCCTGGGTCAATTGTCAACAGCGCAAAGACCAAGAACTGCGCTTGGTTCCAGTCGCCTTCTACTCATTTTGTACTTCAGTCTTCAGCTGTGTCTACCCAAGGCAAGCGCATGAATGAGGGGGTGCCTACTGGGACTGCCAAGAAGGTGCGCAGGTGATTTGGGTATTTACTTGACAGTGTATGTACATAATTTGAATTGAGTTATCACTTTGTCACACGGTTGATTTGGTAACGACGCGTCTTGGTTTGCATGCACGTGATCGCGTCTCCTTCAAAATTTCAACTTTTCGGCCTGGTCTAAGGTTACGCGACGCATACCCACCCTTGCCGAAAGCTCCTGACTTATACAACGTGTCATCAATGGCTGAATGGTATGCTTCTTGGGAGGGAGTACTGACTCTCCACAAAGATCAGTTTGTAAATGGGAAGAATTCCTGTCACAATTTGCTGAGACAGATCCGCAATGAAATTGTCGCAATTCATCACACAAGAGAGGATCCTGAGGATTTACCAAAGGGATTGAAAAAGGTACTGTTCATTCTGAGTATACAATGGTGCTGACATACTTGATATATAGGCTATCCGGAGGTACTACCTCCAGTTCTTAACGGACGCTGATGATCGGCGTGATGAGCAACAGATCTTGGGAGATGACTCAGAGCTGGAGGAAGAACTTGGCATGTCCCCTGAGGACAGAGAGTTGGCGGCTCGTCCTAAGGACGCAGGGTTCTACAAGAAGGAGCTTAAGCTTGGGACGTCGCACAGAAACTCTTTAAGCAGGAGATGGACGACTACGATAAGGAGCAGCAACAGAAGAAAGGCGTACAACATTCTATTAAGTATAGGACTGGACATGCGAGGGAATGGTTCAACAGCATGACCTCTGCACATCGGAAGGAGGTTGAGGAGGCGAGGGACAAGTGGAATAGGGATGGCGCCCCAGCAGAATCACAGGCGATGTAAATTGTCATTTTTTGTTCAATTTCTACTCTAACTATATTGGCAGGTATCGAAAGAAAAACCTCAAAAAAGTTCTCGATGATTTTACAGAACAGATTCGTCGTACTATGGGTTGCCGACTCGTGATGTTGGTCAGTCACAAGAAAAATGCCGATCAGACTTTAAGTGTCAAGATGTGAGTATTTATACACTCTCCTCAGTGTAAACTAACAATGTTATTGTTATTCAGTCATGAGTCTCAGCCTGTCAATCAGAAGAAATCGTTTAGCCAGAGTTCTCGAGGAAGCAAAGAATGGACGTCTGAAGGTTTTGAAAAATATGCCGAGTGGTCAAAGCTGAATTCTGTGAGTTTTGTATTTTTTTTGGATCGGTTCAGACTGCTCAATGACCGTATCAGACCCCACCAATGATGATGATGACTCCTCCGATGAAGAAACGAATGATGGAAAGGATGCAATGCCCGAAGTCATCCTGGATAACCACGGTTACGCAAAGCTCCCTTCTCGTAAGGAAGTGAGCCTCAAGGGGCAACAAGAACTGGTTCGGCAAATTTTTCATGCATCTTACAGCGAGTTGTTGATTACTTCGTCTTTGTCGATTTTAACTTGACTCACCTTCCGTTTTTCAGAAGTTTCACTGGTAGCATGAAGCCAGTACCTTGGCTCTCAATCACCGGTGAGCCTTTGCTGTACCTGGATCCAGACTCCATCCCCAATGGTTTTACCGTGCAAGACCCATCTCATTTGAGAGTGAAGGAAATCAACAAACTTTGGGGCCATTGGGAAGCCCGGAAGGCTTCGAAGCAGAGACTCGTTATTTTGTCGGAGCTGCAAGTGCCCACATGAACAAGTCCCTGCTCGAAAATGCTGTTTATGTAGGCGAGAAGAAATCAAAAAAGAAGTACGTAGAAGTCACGATGAAGAAGGAGCCTCAGCTGCCCCTACACCGTGAAACGTACAAGACGGCTGGCCAAGGACAGCTCCGAGGACAGCTCTGATGATAATCTAGCTCCATCAGCAGGCCTCGTCGCTCGACCGTCAGTTGCTCAAGAAGGCATACGCACACCAGCTACTGTACCAATGAAAGATCGAATGTCATTCTTACGATCCCTCAGCAGCAACAGAGAGTATCTGCTTTTCATTTCGAGTATTGGTGGCTTGAAAAAGGTACGCTTGT